TTTAGCTGTTCTGTGCTGGCATTATGATATAGAATGTCCCTTTTTATGACCCCACAAAGTGGGGAGCATATAGCGTTGTACTTTTTCGTCTGTCCGTACGTCCCGAAATCTTGTGAACGCAACTCCTCTTAAACCGGATGGAAGATTTTGCTTAAACTTCCAGGGACAACAACCTTAATGTGTAGATGGTAGTAAAGGAAGGAATTTTCGCTGCGACCAAATTTAACAGAATTATGGCCCTCTGTTGATTTTTTCACTATATACCATATATATGTTGTCAGTGGGGACATACGTGTCCTTTGGACACAGTTCTAGTATATTACCAAGATGGAATCTTTCACATTCCTGAAATGAAGGGGCACCTGTGATGCATTTTTTTTTCTCATTGTTACGTTAACCAATAAAACGAAATCTCTTGCTAATAAAATGAAGCCCATAACCAAGAAACAAAATCCCTAAGCAATAAAATGAATCTTGTAACCATTAATATGAAACCCATAATAACCAGTTAAACCAAACATGTAACCAAAAGAAATGAAACTTGTAACCAATAACATGAAGCCCATAACAAATAAAACAAAACATTTAACCAATGAAGTAAAATCTTTGACCTATAAAATGAAGCAACATTGTAAATGAAACCCCACTGAAATGTAAGCCATAACCAAAACCAGTAAAATAAAACTGGTAATGGTAACCTATAAATTGTAACACAAACAAGACAGTTGATGTTTGTATATGATGGTAGAGTTAAATACATGTCCAAACTGATTGTTAAGATGATTAAATACATAATATAGTCTTGTTAACAATAAATAGATCAAGGCAAGAACAATGGTAAGTTATAGAAAAGTAGAAAATGAAAGAGTTTGCGTGTAGTGAAGAAAGATTTTATTTTTGATATTCATATACATGTATGTTGTCTTACTTCAGGGTTGTCTTACTTCAGGGGCAAAAGCTGGCCTGTACATATGTTATCTGATGTAACATCACTTTTACAATGATATATTGAAAATAGAAGTATTGTTCTGTTTTGTCGGAAAAAATCTAGAGCCAGGCATAACAGATGAATAACAAAATGCTGAAATGCCAGCTGGTCTGTACAATATTTATTAAGCTAACTTGCCTATAGGGCATATAGTTGCAGCCTGAAATTTTATTCAACTTACTTATACCAAATAATCACATGTCCAGACAGTTTTAAATTGTAAACTCCGCCAACCACCCACCCCCAACCCTAAAAACAATAAATAAATAAAAAACACCAAACAAAAAAACATTCATTGATAATTAACTTTGTTGAAAGTATCATCAAATTTATATGTATTAAGTAAAATTTGTCATGAGATTCTTCTATGTTTTACTTCATGTATCTTCAATATTATGATTATGATACACCTAAAAAATTGTGGATTAATTTTTCCAAATTCAAGGTTTGGCAAGTCTATTACTGGAATTAATGGAGAGATAGTTTAGATATATCAAATAACCTTGAAATTTTAGATATAAATGACATCAAACTTTTAATAAGATTATGGGAGATGTGGCTATAATTCTACTTAATGTCAACAATGTTCTTGTTTTTTGTTTTATTTTCTATTTATAGAACTAATTGCAAATATTTCTCTAATCACAAAAGTAGAAAAAAATATCATCTGGTTTAATTTATTTATAGAAAATTAGTCCTTTTTTCAAGTCTATATTTGAATATTCTTCTGTTAAAAGCATTAGATTGAATAAAACAATGGTTTGGTTTGTAGATGAAAAAAGAAAATCATTATGATGAAAGGCATATACCTTCCATGTCTTTATTGCGTGTGAATTAGCACAGACAATGGAAAAAATAGACTGTCAATGACTAATACTTTATTGATCAGTAATACGTACTTTACTGACATTTTCTGCCTTTTATGACATTTACAACACATAAAGTACATCAGAGACAGGACTTAACAAAGATTAGTTCTAGTAGTACAGAATTTATTAAAGGCATATTATGTCTCGTCTTATTTCATTCTTAAAAAAAAAACATAAGTTTTATAATGTTTAAGTAATGGTTTTAAAGCATGTTAGATGCTTGTCACCTTATATATTAAAGTGACATTATGCCCATCCAAGGGTATATAGTGAGTGAACATGTGAATATATAAATACGTTTTCATTTTGCAATAACTCCTTTTGATTTGATAATTGACTTCGCAAAAACAATAAATAACGCATGGATCCTAAGGAATTTTCTGTAAATATCCATTAGAAATTGCTTGTACCGTTCAGTTTATAAAAAGAGTGGGGCAGTCTTTTTATATTTAAGGCAGATTTATAATTTTATCCTAAACATTTTCAAATATCACCTGTTGGTCAAACACCATTTTAACAGTCAATCTTTTGAAATATAAAGTCAATTCAGCTCAACTTGACTATGAAAATATGAGCATAATGTCACTTTAATAATAATAAGTAATTAGCTCTGAATGTGAAATTATTTGTCATAAATGTAGCAAAACGTAAACAGTGTAGTATTTTGACTTCCATACAAAAAACTTTATCAGTATAACTGTACTAATTGCCAAAAAGCAACAGAAGCAAAATATGGTTTAAGTACATGTAATTGACCAATAAATAACATTTTGTAAACTATAACAGGATACCAAAATTAAAAAGCTTTTAAGAAAAAGAAATAAAAGCTTTTCAAGGGCATAATGGACCTTAGTACATGCATTAAGAAATGAATAATTTTTAGCTCACCAGTGTCACAAAGTGACAGGGTGAGCTTTTGTGATCGCTTTTCGTCCGGCGTCCGTCCGGCGTCCGTAAACTTTTACTTTAAATGACATCTCCTCATAAACCACTAAGCCAATTTCATCCAAACTTCACAAGAATGTTCCTTTGGTGGTCACCTTTAAAAATTGTTCAAAGAATTTAATTCCATGCAGAACTCTGGTTGCCATGGCAACCAAAAGAAAAAACTTTAAATATCTTCTTTTAAAAAACCATAAGAGCTAGAGCTTAGATATTTGGCATGAAACATCTTCTAGTGAGTGTCTACCAAGTTTGTTCAAATAAAAGCCCTGGGGTCAAAATTGGCCCCGCCCGGGGGGGGGGGGGGGGTCATTGATTTTCCCTATATGCATATAGTAAAAACTTAAAAATTCTTCTTTTAAAGAACTCAAAGAGCTATGGCTAAGATATTAAGCATCAAACATGTTCTAATAGGTGTCTACCAAGTTTGTTCAAATAAAAGCCCTGGGGTCAAAATTTGCCCCGCCCCGGGGGTCATTGATTTTCCCTATGTGCATATAGTAAAAACTTAAAAAATCTTCTTTTAAAGAACCAAAAGAGTTAGAGCTAAGATATTTAGCATGAAACATGTTCTAATAAGTGTCTACCAAGTTTGTTCAAATAAAAGCCCTGGGGTCAAAATTGGCCCCGCCCCGGGGGGTCATTGATTTTCCCTATATGCATATAGTAAAAACTTAAAAAATCTTCTTTTAAAGAACTCAAAGAGCTATGGCTAAGATATTGAGCATCAAACATGTTCTAATAGGTGTCTACCAAGTTTGTTCAAATAAAAGCCCTGGGGTCAAAATTGGCACCGCCCCGGGGGTCATTGATTTTCCTTATATGTGTATAGCAAAAACTTAAAAAAATCTTCTTTGAAAAAACCCAAATAGCTAGAGTTAAGATATTAAGCATGAAAGATCTTTTAGTGAGTGTCTACAAAGTTTGTTCAAATAAAAGACCAGGGGTCAAAATTGGTCCCGCCCCAGGGGTTATTGATTTTCTTTATATGTGTATAGCAAAAACTTAAAATCTTCTTTGGAAAAACCCAAATAGCTAGAGTTTAGATATTAAGCATGAAACATCTTCTAGTAAGTGTCTACAAAGTTTGTTCAAATAAAAGCCCTGGGGTCAAAACTGGCCCAACCCCAGGGGTGTCATTGTTTTTAACTATATGTGTATAGTAAAAACTTAAAAAAAATCTTCTTTTAAAAAGCCCGGAGAGCTAGAGCTTAGATGTTTAGCATGAAACATCTTCTTATGGGTGTCTACCAAGTTTGTGCAAATAAAAGCCCTTGGGTTAAATTGGCCCTGCAACGTTTTGGGGGGGGGGGGGTTGGGCGGGGCCTATATACAGGTGAGCGACCTCAGGGCCATCATGGCCCTCTTGTTTTTATGAAATAAGAGTTTTAAAAGTCATCAGGATATTTGTTTTGGAATTTTTGATAAAAAAAGAGGAAAAACATAGTCAAAATTGCTATTTTGATATTCTTTGATTTTATATTTCTTAATTTATAAGGTAAAAGATCCTGAGAATCTGTCCTTTTACATAATTTGTGCAAGAATCTGTCCTTTTCCATAATTTGTGCAAAATAAATGATATTGAAAAATTTGCCGGACATTCAAACTTGTCTCTATAAAGCTGCCTCTCTTATGCGGTTTGAGGAAAATTACTCAACATTTGAAAGTTAACCCATTAAATGGACTTGTCCAGCTTTTATTTTGGAAGCATCCATTATGATTTTTTGGGGATATCAAGATGAAAATCTGAAGATTGTAAGCAAACAGTAATAGTATAGAGTTTGGTCAGACTCAGAGTCCATGGATGTGCATACTGGCCAGACTCTATATACTGGTAGCAAAGGCAAAGGTTAAGCCCTTTTTCGCAGCAAGTTTTTGGGGTTAAACGTAATCTAACATATAACATTTGGTATCTAGAAACAACCTACATTGATTGAGTATGATAAATATTAAGAAAAAGCAATAAGAACAAAATTAATGTATACTGGATATTTCACTGTTCAATATGAAAAGTCTTCTGATAACAAAACAACAACTCAAAAACATCTGCCAAATTGCCTTTTATGTCTGATAACATCAAAAAGTCATTATTATATCATTATATGGAGAGGAAATCCATGTTTTCTTTTTTAATCTCGCATTGATAAAAAACATGCCTTATAGAGAAAGTTATGCTCAATATTTTGATTGTATATTTTCAGATGGAGTGCGGGAAAAAGACAAGGATCAGCTGGGCACTGTACTGAATCAAGTGGCAGTTGCCAAAGATAATTCATTTACGCTAGCCAAACATATATACGCAGAAGTTCGCTCAGACTGGCCATTCTACACTGATGAAGATAGACTTATATTGAAAAAGTAAGGCCAGTTTTGATTTCTACACTCTTATTATTGCATGAAAAATTGAATCATTAGAACCTGTATAAGTATGTACACATTTCAAACATGTGCTTAGGTTATTCAGAATTTATTTTAGTTTAATTGTGTAGGAAACTATAAGCTAATAGACACGCTTTGGAATCCAACCATCCAGCATTGAGAGTGAAGCAAAGACTTGTTCCTAGCAGGTTTGAATCTACATGGGGCCAAAAATCCTAAGATAACTAGTTTAACACATTAACCACTGGCATGTCACTAGTTTTACGTTTGGAAGAAATTCTTCTAGTGATACGGTCTGCTCTGAAGAGATTGTAAAAAATGATAATAAATTGATAGTTTTTGTTAACTCTCAAACTAAAACTGAACCAGTTTAAAGAAATGAAGGATAAGGACTGTACTGATTAATATGTATCATTTGCATTACATCAGTTGAAGGGCAATAACTCCATAATCAATTTCTTACCATATCATTTTCATTGTTTAAAGATAAACAAAAAAAGATTCTTAAACCATTTGAAAGGCATTGTTTTGAAAATAAAATCAGTGTAAGGGAGGTAACTCAATTTTATACAGTTAAATCGTTTTCAATTTTGGAGCTTCTTCACTCTTGAATATTAGTTGAATAGATAAAATTTTAATGACAAGGTAAAAGAGTTCCTTAGCATTTTATGATGTTATTATCTTTATTGTTAAACTTATTTCATTATGAAGGAACAAACCTCAAACAAATCTACAATTTTGTATAATTATAAAACATATCAACCTGTATTTCAGAAAATTACAAAGTGCCTCAACTGTGTCTCCATCAGCCTCACCTAACAGTCGCAGTCCTGACAGCCAATCAGCTAATCTCACACAAGTAAGTATAAAATTTACAGCCAATCAGCTAATCTCACACAAGTATGTATAAAATTTACAGCCAATCAGCTAATTTCACACAAGTATGTATAACATGTAACATATAACATATAAATGTACCTGTCATTTCTTAAATGTAAGAATTGTTGCATGAGAGGGGTCAGTGGCCGAGTTGTAATGATGGTTCACTTCAAACCACTTGCCTCTCAACCCAGTGGGTACGAGTCATGACAGGGGCTTTGAATTCTTTTATTTGAGGAGGCAATCTAGCCAGCTTACTGAATGTTGGTGGTTCTACTCAGGTGCCAGTTTGTGCCTAAAATAATGCATGGAAAAGCACTTGGTCTTCCTCCACCAGTTTAGCTTAGCTTAGCTCTTACACCTCTAGCTTTCTTTAATTATGTCATTTAGAACTGTTTTTCATTCCAAGTTGTACATGTATATCATACTAAGTCAACTGGGAATAGTTGAGGTTTTAAAACTGCTATTTAACAAATCTTTGGCGAAATAAAATAATTCAGTTATAGCTTCATAAATTTTCATGTTGTACATTCAAAAAAAAGAAGGGACATTAATGTAATGTAATATATATTTTATTGCAAGTTTTGTGGCTTGTTAAATCAGATGTGCTTTTATTTTTATTGCCTGACTCTGGTATATACAGGAATACTCGACACGAGATTGCACGACTGTAATAAAGCTACATTTTATGGGAGCATTTTACAGTCTAAAAATAAATAAAATGCATTTTCGATGAAACAGTTGAGTGAAATTTACTCTATGAAACAAACTACAGTCAAGCTTTGCAAAGGTCTTGATTTAAAAATAAATCATTTATTGTTTAACACTAGCATCTCATTTTGTATTGAAGTTGTTTGTTAAGACATGTGGGGAATATTAAACATACTTGAAAATGACTGCAAACATTTTAATACATATTTTTCATTGAATTAAAAGCATAACCAACAAGACAAAATGTTTGATGCATATTTTTCTTATTTCAATTTGTTTTATTTACAAAATGACGTGCTCAATTTCTTTAAAGATCAGTTTATATTATTTAATAGGATCACACAGAACAATATTGGAAAAAATGTGAAACTCCTTTTTCACTCGTACTGAATTAATTAATTCCTGCTGTGGGCTTACAATTACTGAGTATTGTAATTAACCAGTTATGGTAAATGTTAAAATAGAACCCAGGTCATCAGTCTTTGAACCTGTGTCTAGTGAAAAAATCCACAACTGTCAGATTAATGGTTTTAGATTGGTTGAAGACAGTTTGTCCTAGTGGGTGTTGTTTTTTCTGACCTTCACAAATTTGGATTAATGAATTTCTGAAAAGCTAGTCTCAACAGCTACCAACTTCAAATTTTAACAGTCACTGGAACTATTAGACTTCATTTCAAGAAAATGAGTGGTTTTTTTTCACCGCTAGGATAGGGACTGTTTCCTAGACTTGTCATTAGAAGGGAAAGAAAAAATTACCTTAGCGGGGAAGGAAACTAAAAGAAAATTGCCAAGACATTTATTCATCATCATCTGACACAAGTTTAAAAGTTGACATACACTTGTGTAGAACAGGTCAATACTGGCACACAATCCAGGAATGTTGTTAAGATTAAGTGCTCTATATATTAAAGACATACACAAAAAAAATGAAATAAAAAATTGCCAAAACAAATTTCATGTCGATATGTAGTTTATGCTGGTGTTCCATTGCAGAAATTCTACATTGTTTTTATTAACTGCATCTTGACAAGTGTTTTTGTATCTTTATTAAGATCCATATTGCATTAGTACGCCAAATTATATATTACATTTTGACGTTGTTGTCCTTGACGTCATATGAAGTTGACATCATTTCCTGTAAACAAAGTATACCTGATGAAGACTTTCGAGTTGAAACTTTGTATATTTTTTCAAATAAAACAATACATTTTTAAATTGAAACTGGATTAGATTTCTCTATTCAAACTTACATATGTTAATCTTGGTATTACAGAAGAAATCTGAACCTTTGAAGCGATCTATAGAAGATAGTCACCAAACGATGCATCATAATGCAAAGAAGAAACGTATCTCATTGTACGACAAAAACGGACACAAATCAGAGAATCGTTCAAGTAGTACGGACAGACACAGTAGTAATAGTAGTAGTAATAATAATAGCAATAATGTATCTTCCACAACAGATATATCAGATAAAAAAGAGAATATTGACGGTTTGTATATATCAGATAATTATGTTTCTGTTTAATAAGCTCATATAACTATTGATGAAAATACAATCTGTCGTCACCATTATTGTTGAGCAGTGTAACAAATGTAGATCGAGAACATATGGTGATAGTGTGTATCGATTTTCAGCGAATACGCAGAAAATTAGATTTAAAGTTTACCAACCTTTTAGGTAAAGGCCAAGCAGGGTCCATGCCCTACTATGGTGTCAACTCACCTTCCTTTTATGACATAGGTGCTGATAGCACATCTGAAATGATAATCTATTTAGTAATCTAAGTTGCAAAAACTTGTTTCGTAATGGAGCTAAAATTAATATGTTTAAACTAAGGATACACCTCTATATAACAGCAACATGACAATTTCTAAATACTGTACCTCAGTGATGAATAGCTGTTTGATATGTTCATCTTGTGATGAATGTACAATTGATATGATGGTTCAGATTTTTGAAATCTGTGATGTAAATAGTTATATTACAGGTTATGTTGTCAACATGAATGGACTTTGAGACAAATAGCATTTATACCAACTTAAGACACAACAGAAAATAAAGATCATGGCTTTCTTCCCAAGTAGGCTTAACAAAATAAGCTGTAAATTTCTTGGGTTTTGTTGTTGTTGTTTTTTTTTTCTTTTCTTTCCAAACTAATTAATGTTTTCGTTTGGTATTTCAGATACCGTTGATTCCACTTCTGATACTCCTGAATATGTAAGGTAAGTCTGCAATCATTAACAATGGTAAAATAATTATTTAAGTTGTGTAGTCAATTTATAAGTACCTATGCAGTTGGACCAACTCTTCATTATTTTCATAGGGCAGATTATCCTTAAATTATATTTTTGTTAAGTTATGCCCTGTTTAGATAAATCACAAGGTGAAAATAGCTGTATATAGGGCTTAATACATCCTTTAAAATTCAGAACCATGTCAACCTATTTTATATTATTTATGTTTGGTATTTTTGTTATAAATAAAAATTTTCCTCAATGGTAAACAATTGGAAAGGTCTCATGTTGGAATATCTTGTTGTAGGATATATTGGGTCCAGAAGTGTCCAGTACCAGAAATATACATATATTACACTGTCATGTGGTACAGATTAGTAGCATTGATTGGACGTTAGTAAATGGGTTACAAATAAACTAGACATATTGTTGTAATTGAATTATGTATGTATTTCAGGCAATATCATACTATAGCAGACGACGACCAGAGGTATAAATATAAGCAAGCATTTAATGAAGAGTATAAGGAATATCGGGAACTGCATTCTAGTATAGATCTTGTCTCGCAGAAATTTTGTGAGATGCAAGAATTGAGAAGGAAAACTCAGAAAGGCACATCAGAATATCAGGTATAAAAAGTTGCATCTTTTAACCCTTTCACTGCCACAGGGACGGCTTATGCCGTCCCTGTTATTTTCGGCGTATTTGCCATATGGACGGCTTTAGCCGTTTCTATAATAATCATAATAATAATAATAAATTAATAATAATAATAAAAATAATAATAAATATAAAGAAAATTATACCATCGACAATAATTGTTATTATACTAGCATATTTGGAAACATATATGATTATCATAATACTAATAACAAATTATAACAATAATTATATTAATTAATAATAAAGTAATTTCTTAGAAAACCATCTGGCAAATAGGTGATCAATAAAACAATAACCCTCTGGCAGCGAAAGGGTTAATGTCTCCACATCAGGGGGTGGCGACATACAGATTTGCTAAAGCTGTAGAATGTGTGGGCATCTGTGTCCTAATGACACATTTTTAGTTTTTAAGTGACATTGTAAGGTATAAAACATTTTTTTTTTACACTTTAACTTGTCCAGGAGGCTTACAGAAGGTCATTAATGAGGTTGAAAATAGCCTTGTGATTTCCAACAGTGTCACTGTGCTGATATTTTGAATTCTTTTCTTTTAAAGAGAAATTCATAAGAGCTAAGGATGAATTAAGTATTACTGATAAAGATATTGAATGAATAAAATTTTTATATCAGGGGCTTCGCTTAACTTCAGAAAAGTTAAATAGGTGACTTTAGCCAATCCTGTTATTGAATGCTTGATTTGTTCTTTTGGTGCATTAAACTTAATAATTGTTTTAACTTTGACATCATTTTCGTAAAAACATTTTTGAATTTTTGAACATGTGTATTTTTCAGAATCTGGAGGAAAAAATCCGCAATCAGTATATGTTACAAAAAAGTGATCCAAAGTTTATAGAACAAATGAAAAGATACAAGTACCTTCATAATAAGCTGGCTTATATTAAAAATCTTATCATGGACTATGATCAAAAGATTGTGACAGTGTCATCTTAGCAGTGACCTTTGACCTTTGGACCTTGGATGACCTTCGACCTCTCATTTTTGGATTCAGCTTTACCATAATACAGGAGAATCCCAAATTGTTTATTTATTGAATTCTCTTCCAAATAATTATGGTTCCTTGTGATAAAGGACTTTTTGTGATTTTTTTTTGTCTTGCTTTGTTGTGATTGGATAAGACATGATCATGTGACATTGCAAATGATTCTTTTTGTCTGTGATGATTCTACTTTAAAGGTCTTTTGTATCAAGTACAAATTAATGATGATCTTTTTTATGTTTACTGTTCAAAAAATTTTCTACTCCATTTTAAGCTTTACACAAATTTAAAACATGTGATAAAAAAAGAATATTGGCTTTCTTTAAGGATTCTTTCCTTGAGTTTTTGAACGTGATTGGCTAAACTGAGGGCATGAATATCGCTCTGTCGAGGAAGAGTATTATTTTCTGAGTATCGAATCTCGCTGCTAACAAATTCCACGGAATTTCAATAAATGGACATACCTGTAAATGTGTACTTTCCTCTCATTTGCAGTGTCACATTTAGTTTGAAACAAAAGTGTTATGTGATAAAATAGAAATATCAATGAGGCCATATTGTAAAAATTATGTTTCTATGAAACTAAACATTGTGAATTTTGTTAAGATAGATAGGCAATGTGTTAGAATCGGTGGCATTTTTCTCAGCCATAGATAAAGTGATGTTACATAATCTGTAAGAGAAATGTCTAAAGCTTCAAAATTATCAGTGCAACATTTGGAATTTTACTCCTATAGATTACTGTTCTGACAATAAAAACTACTTTTTTGGCCTAACATACCAGTTTTGAAAATCCTATGTTAGATTATCTCCCCTCTCAAATTTGTTTTAGCTTTTCTTGTACATTGTATTTATAATATGAGGTGCTAATATTTAGTGTGTACATTTTAAATACAGATACAAATTCAGTCTTTAATAAAAGCCTCTGTTCTGTGATAATTATAATTTTGGAATTTGAATCAAACCTTTTTCTTCTTTACCATTGTTGTGAATAATTCATAGAACACAGTTACTGAAAATATAAATGTTCCCCTTCAGTAAAGAGTCAGGCCAGCCTGTACATCTGTTCAGATTGACCAGTCACTCTATTACTGGCTGACCAACTTAAAATTATCTATTTCATATGACAAAAATCGATTCCAAGTTAACTTAACAAAGAGAGAAATTTTCAAACTTAAAAAAAAATGAATAATGAATTAATGCTTTTAATTTTTCATATGTAAGCGTTTAAAGACGTTAGTCATTTCTGTAATATTTTATACCATTTACACTTGTTAACATTGATTTAAGGTTTAAAAAACACTGCATCATCAGCACTTATAAAATGAAGAAAATGTATATAAACTTGCTATATTAGCAAATATGTATAGAAAATTTCCAGTTTTTTTTTTGTTCTCCATTATAAAACTTGTCTGCAATTTCTTATCATTCATTATCTGACATATATTAACACTGAATCAGAACTAGTTCCTATGATCAATCAAGAAACAATGTTAGGAGAGTTATGATGATAAATATTTTTCAGTGTTTTGCCCATTTTTTGCTTGTTTAATTTAATATGATGTGATTTGTATATTAATCCAGTTTTTGCTCACATTTTTTTTATATTGAGATATAAATCATGATAAGTCCATGACAAATTGACATCTTTAAGATTTTCTTGTACATTTTTGTAGTGCCATAATAGTTGCAGTTCTCTGTTCTGTTTGTACAGTAAAACAACCACCTTGTATCTAAATGTATGGTAAAAAATATGAATCCGAATTTGTTACGGTACTGATTTATAAGTAAGATACAACAAAAATAATGTTTAAGTTTCACTATCTTAATAATCCTTTACAGTCTTACTGCAACAGTCTTAATTAATTGTCTTAAAATCTAAGTACCTTTAACAATTGTTCTTCAGTGTTTTTTGCCCCCATTTCCCCATCAGCTAAGTGGGAAGTGTTATGTACAGCCATCTTTGAGCCATGATTGTGACACGGTTTCTGGGCAAAATATTGTAACATGATTTCTGGGCAAAATAGTTCCCTTGTAAAAAAGAATTTTGCAGATAATCTTTTAAACAAAGCAAATGTATACTTTGTGTCTACGTTTGTAAAATCCTTTCACTTCATTCACCTTTCAAAGGTTGTTGAGAAGTTTGATTAAGAGTCAATACTGATAATCCAGATTTTATATAAGTTTCTTGTAAATACTTACTTTTCTTTGTTTCATAGGTTAAGTTTGATTGCTATTGTTTATAATCTCACATTCCAGAGAATTTCATACTGTGAAGAAAACTGTACGAGCCGTGTCTTTGCTTTAAGTAAGATAATTATGTGATAAATTTGATATCAAAAAATTAATGTTCAAACTGTATCTTTAGTTTTATATCTTGTAAGCTAGCTGATGGAAGTTAGGGGATTCTTGTCTGTGCCTGAAATACTACATGGTCTTGGACATGGGCAATATGACACTTTTAATACAGTGTGACTAGTTGAAGATTATTCTTTGAGTATGCATTATTCTTTGAGTAGTTAATAGTTATAAAATGAAAATAAGCATACCCATTTTTACTGCATTTAAGTCTTAAACATTCCCATTCGCAGGTGATAAAGATATAGTATAGAAATTATCAAAGTGATGGATAATTGTTAACATGTTAAGAAATTACATATAATAATATTATATAGTAGCTTTGTATAAGATTTATTGACTGTGTAGTAAAGTTCCAAGCCAATGTTAATTTTCACATATATGATATAATGGTAAAAATTGATGCCATATTGTTGTTTAAATAGCATAGTAGAATATCTACTTTTCAATCTTTTTTTAAGTAGAAACAATATTTTTATATGTGCAGCTGTTGCAACTAAAGGGTAAAAAAAGACATTTAAAACTTGAAATAAAGTATTACAATAAATGATATGCACCAGTAATACAAATTGATAACTAAGAAAGATTAAAGGTTTATAGAGAAAAGGTTTTGTGGCGGCATTACAAAATGCTGACAATTTTACAAACTTTATTTGTGATTTGTTGATGTTTTTTTTACAATAATTAAGGGAACAAAACTCCATTATGTTTGAGCAAGTTAATAAATCTTGAGAAAACATTTTGTTAAATTTGATGATATTAAAATATCAGAGGACTTAGTTCTGACTAAAGCTTCACAAGTCACAAATGTTAATTGGTAAATTGTAGGATCTATTTAATTTTAAACAGAACTTATTTTGATTGACTTCAATGTCCTTCTTTTGTGAATTTATGATTCAAGTGATATTCAGACAATTGATTTGACATTAGCCCTTTTTGAATGGACAAGTTGAATGGACTTGTCCATTTTTCAATCTGAGCAAAACCATTTATTATTGTAGCGAAAATCTCAATATATTAAGTGACTGAATAATGAACAGTGCAGATCATGATCTTACAGCAGGGATATGCAAGGTGATCTTGGTCTGCACTGGTCTGATGGATACAATAGAATCTGCATAGACTAAGAGTTACATTTATTAATGGTGAAATGAAAGATAATATGAACATTGAACATTATTATTATTTCAGTAAATTTTATTATTATACATGTTTTCTAGCACATTCTGCCTACTCTAATTTATGCCAGATATAAATGGATGGATGTACTTCAATAATGGCAAAGTTGAGAAAAATGAGACATGGTTACATGTTGAAATTATATGTTTAAACATTGTTAATGTAAAGATATTTTCTTAAAACTAGCCAAGTATAGTCATTTTTTCGACAAGACAACTGTTTCATGCATAATAACTGAATGTGGCATTAACTATAGATATAAGTGTGTAGAAACACACATGTATATATATATTATTTTGTGACTTTTACTTCAAGTTCACATGCCCTGTTTAAATATTTGTGCTTCCTACAAATGCTTATTTCTTTCTCTATCTATCCTTTTTCTGAACATTTTGCTATGTATAATGTATTGTATTCCTAAGGTATATTGTGGGTAAAAACTTACCTTTCCAAAAAAAATTATATATATACAAAAAATAGAAAAATATTTATTTATTTAAAAAAAACCTCAGTCCTGTTTCAATAAATGTTACTATATTTAAAAAGGATTAGATGTCTACTCAGTTTAACAGTAAGTTACAAAGTTAAAATGCCAAATGTCTTATGTAACTATCAATTCCTTGATTAAAGACCACCCAAATATAAAAACTTGTCTTAAATATCCAACAGTTTAGCGTCCCTTTTAAGTCAGTTGTATTGCAAAATTACTGTAATTTCTTTATAGATAAACTGCCAAAACCACCTATCAGTAAACAGATCAATCTTTCACTATCTTTACATTGGTGTCTATGATATTAAGGTGTACTGTATTTTTACCTGCCAAAGGTCTCAAGATAACAATACTATACCCTTATATTTTGATGCAGACAGTAAGTTGGAGAATGAGAATGACACTGGCCATGTTGTATCGTTTAGAAATGCCGTTATAATACTTGAATGTAATCCATTTGTTGTTACCTATGATAAAATTTAAGTACACATTTGCTACATGTGCATTTTCTTTTTATCATAAGTGCTTTACAAAAATATGAGCTCAGAGGTTCATAGTGTTGTATGCAAGAATCTTATGTTTTCAGCAGTTACAAACCTGAATATCTGGCTCCAGTATAACTGTTTGAGGAGATAAAAAACCTATGCTGAGTTTCTGCTGACTTGTTACCCCAGATTCAGGTATTCAGGCCTGTGACTGATGTTGATTTGTTTTCTTGCATATATGTAACATATTGATAAAATGAATGATTGTTTGTAATGCTCTTGCCTTGACACAGCTGCTTATGTATACATAGACACAACTTGTGGATAATAGAAAAAGTGTAGTTTATTGACAGGTGGTTTTTAAAACAAGCAATTTTGTACTAAAAAATTTGTTTTCAATTTGAGTGGTTACATGAAGCCTAGTCTTTGAAAAGTATTTTTTTTAGATCTTCCCTTAAGTTTAAGGTGGGCACAATAGCAGTTTTGATTAATATTTCAATTACCCAATACCATGGCAGGGACCTTCTTTTATCTTTGTTAATTTGACAGACTTGAATTTTTAGAACAAGTAGCAAGGGTCTTATTTCTTTTATTACTAGTACAGTGTTAAAAATGAATTGTGAATGGAACTTAAATGTTGCAGGAATAAGTTGTGAATAGTTTTGAAACAGGACAACAAAAAAATCAAAGGAAACGCACTAAAAAAATCTGCTTGTTTCAGTCTGGTACACAAATACACCTATTTGTTTGTACCAGGCAGAAATGAACCAGAATAATTATCAATCTACAATAACTTTTTGCACTAATTCTTTTCTTTTTCTTGTTTCATTCATATATCTTTTTTCTGTATTTTCTGATATACTTTACTTCTTCAAAAGTGACCAGAATGATCAGTTCATTTGATTATGCTATAAGTATGGTGCCAATAAGGTTGCAAATCATTCTTTGAAGTACAGATGTTTTTCAATCCATTGTATAATCAAAGTTCAAACTTTGTTAAAGAGACATAAATTTTTATGTTTCATACAAAGCTTTACAATGTTATATGAGCATTATTTGATGAATTAAACTTATATAATGTCAATAAGTTTTGACTTGCATACACCATCAGTATAGAGCTGTGCCAGCGTGTACATCCCTATAGTACCACCAGACACTATATGATTACTGACTCAGTTTTCGAATCTTGAAAATGAAATCCTGAGTAATAAGACTGTTCCAAGGTCAAAGCAAAGTCCATAATATGTAACAGGTTTAATATGTTAGTTAAAAATAAGTGTTCTGAAGAATGTAAGTTTTAACTATGTAACATAATTCAACCATGTAATCTTATCAAATCCATGCCAGTAGCTTCTTGCATTATATTCAGTTTTATCTGCATATCCTTTCAAAATTGACAATCTGTGTTTTTCTACTCATTAATGGGGAAGTACATTTTATAAAATTTAATATGGAAAGATTGAGTGATATACAGTCAGGTCTGTACTGAAGACCATCTCCAAATATAGACAACCATGTGCAGAAAGACCAGTCATTGACAAACCTGTATTGATTAAATAGAATAAGATAACCTCCATATAAAGACCACTTATCTATAAAGGAAATGTTCAGTCTCTCCCTTGGATGACTGGCCTATACATACAGGTTTGACTGTAATTGTTTTAAGTTTCTATTGATAAGATTCTGACTGTTACATGTAGATTTACCACATCATGCTAGGTTGGGTGCTTTTGAAGAAGTGTAGTATGTCTTACATTATTTATTGGCCCGGGGAAATGTTTGGTTTGTTTGATTTCTTTTTTCATCTGGTGCTCATCATGTTTATAATTATACCAAGACATATCAAGTCGTGTTTCACTTAACAAAAAAGCGTAGTCAGCGTTTTGAAGTTTAATGGCTGTATAGTGTTTTGGGGATTAATTTGTGTAGTCTTTTTTTGTGTGTGTATTATTTTGAGAAATAATACCACATGTATTTAACAGTGTTTTATTATGATTGGAACATAAGGGAGAATGCTTGTGTCAACATTAAATGTTTTAAAAAATGAAAACAGCTCGTTACATTCTGTTGGAAGATCTATAGTCAAGAATGTTAAAATACAAAGCTTTCATCAATAAATCAAATTAAATTATTGTTGTGAAAGTATAAAGAAATTTTTTTTTTGAAATTTTATATTGGGTTTTTTAAATCATTGCCGTTTGGTCGTCACTACTAACATTAAAACATGGATAAAGTCAATATACTAAACAGTGTAAATGCTTTACCAGGATATGGAATGTTAAAAGTGATATGAAATAAAATGTCTCCTATCATATATTGTCTAGGTACCTTTCATAGGGAAGGCAGTGTTCTTAGGGTACATGTGACTGAAAATAATGCATAGATTGATATTTAACAAATCCATCAACTGACATTTGTAGTCTTTGTTTGACATGAACCTCAACTAAGATAATACAAGACCTATGTGCTATGCTCTAGTCGGTTGTACCCTTCTTCCATCAATCCCTGTGGAGTGCAAGGTCAAAGCAAGCCAAGTACTTTTCCAGCATTCCTAGCTGAATCCAGTAATTTTATCTTGGTTTATAGATAGTAAGGGTATTTCTAACTCACAGGCTGGGGACTTAATATCAGGGATTTCATCTTCTGAGACTTTTCTAGGTGTCTTTGAAAGTCCCACTAGTCTCCAGTGCTTGGGAAGCATGGGTTATAATTGACCAGTGCATTGTCACAAGCATGTGCTATATTTGTTATATACATATAGGTGTAAGGATTTGACCTGACACATATAGGGGAAGGTAAGGTCATGGAATAGCTCAGGTATATTTTATGGAATGTGATTTTTGTATGCTTGGAGGCTATTTGATTTGTTTTGCAATTATAATCTTTCTGAGGGTATAATTATACACACTGATTTAACAAGAAATGTTAAGTGAAAGGATTGTACATGGTTTTGGATATTTTAAGGGAAAAAAGTGAAACATGTCAAGTTTCAACAGCTTACAATCAGATGGAGCATATAATCAATTGTTCTTTTTCCCCTCCCTCCCCTGTCAAGACGTGCATCTTACTATTATATTTTTAAATAGAACAGACATTTCAGTTTGTTTTATTGAACATGCTTTTTTACTGGTGTTATCTCTTTTCTTGTTCAATTCTTCAAAGTGTTATACACTTCACTGTTGTTGCCTTTTTCTTCCTTATCAAAACAATGCTAATTACTAAGTGCTTTCCAAAAATATAATGTGTTATAACAGTTTATTTTTTGCCATTTTTTTCTCAGTTGACACACATGATGTTTATATAATATATTGTTTATCATGATCTTAATGACTTGTGCTCATGTCAGTGAAAATGTTTATATGGAGAGTAAATTTAGAGATTGATGCTTATACTTAGTGTATCAGAGAGATGTCATATAGAAACAGTATAAATGGGACACAATATGTTTTAATTTTTTGACAAATGACCAGGCATAGTTCTAGATGTAATACTGATAATATTGTATGTACTGTAGATGCTGTGTAACCGACATGAGATGTTGATTTAGTATTATATATTTTAGTAATATGGGCACATATTTGAATAGAGGTGCAATGTACCAGCTTGAACACCTTGACAAATTGACGATGTTAAACATCAGTGATATATGAAGATGGTATAATTTGACATCACGTAGACATGACACAACTTTAATAACATATAGATATAGTACAACCCGACATTGTTGTGAAAAGTTAAAACTAAAATAACATGAAAATATGGCACAATTTGACATTGTGTCCCAACATTGTTGTAAAAGGTTAAAACTAAAATAACATGAAAATATGGCACAATTTGACATTGTGTCCCAACATTGTTGTAAAAGGTTAAAACTAAAATAACATGAAAATATGGCACAATTTGACATTGTGTCCCAACATTGTTGTAAAAGGTTAAAACTAAAATAACATGAAAATATGGCACAATTTGACATTGTGTCCCAACATTGTTGTGAAAAGTTAAAACTAAAATAACATGAAAATATGGCACAATTTGACATTGTGTCCCAACATTGTTGTAAAAGGTTAAAACTAAAATAACATGAAAATATGGCACAATTTGACATTGTGTAGACATGACTCAATTTTGACATCTTTCAAATAGAAGATGGAATGCTGGTCAACTGTAGACACAATAATACCATGATGAAATACTAATACAGCTCTGGTTAGTATATACTGGACCATGTATCACTAGGGTGACATATACTTATAGTAAAAAAACTGAATTGCTGTGGTACCACTAAAGAGATCATACACTTGGTATAAAAGACATGGTATGGTTTATATAACAATACATGGCTTGATTAGAGTGAGGTATGGTAGACAGTAGGTATACACAAAATATCATTAAAACAAGATATACACATGATATGTCTAAAGTGAAGTGTGAAGGGTAATAGGTAACAGGTCACGATATTATTGAAGTAAAGTATTGACGTGACACAGAGTGAGGTATGACAGAGAAATGGTATTGACACAATGCCAGTATTGAAGCACAATCAAGATGTGAGGTGACTGAAGTGAGGTGTACGACTGTAACTGATTGTGGTCAAACCACCAACAAATTTATATGTGACTGAATGATAAAAGACGAATAATTGCTGTAAAGGTTAATTGATGGGGAAAATTCCAGGGAAATTCAGTTTGATTTTCTGCGGTTCTTTTTTTTTGTCTTTTTTTTTTCCCAAATATTACTTGATAATTATATAAATATATGTATATATTATGAAATGGGGACTTTGCATTTTTTCCCTCATTTTTGTATAAATTTTATTTTGAGAATGATTGTATAATGCACATAGTGAATATGAAATGAATGTGAATAAAGCTATGCTTCAGTTAAAGTATTCTTCTATACATTATCAAAACACCAAATAACAGGTAAAAACCACCTCTCATCTAATTTTGCCGAAATGTTTATTTTATAACATTTGCAACTGGAAATACTTCAGGTTTTGCTTGACATTGATTGTTTTTTTTTTTTAGCTTTTTCATTCTTTGAGTCCTATTAATTTCTGCTTAAGTTTTATGAATTACATAGTTGTCTATCGCAAGTAAATAAAAATGAGAAGAAATTTTACTGACTTTTTGCTGAAACGTTTTTCTATATTTATGTTCTAGTTTGGATTTTGGATTGATTGACTTAATTTCAATTGGGGAAAAAAATGTCATATTTCAGGGTAAGTGTTACTATAAAAGTAACTTGTTTTGCAAATAAAATGACTTGACCTTGACCTTATATACTGCTTTGAGGCTGACATTGTAAAAGTGAATCAACTGTTTTTCACCATAGACATAAATTGATTGAAGTTCTCATTGTGAAAAATGTCTTGTTTTTTTTTTAAACGAAAGACACAAGTTTTGCTGTACTAATGGCGTTGTATATTGATTTTTTGTGGTAAACAAATGGCTTGACCATGTTATGTTAGTGATAATGGCCGAGTTTTATTTTTATTTGCAGGAGGTCTCATTGTAAAAATGAATAATTCAACTTTTATTTATCATGTTAACTATACATTGACTGGATTTCACAATAAAATGAAATAATTTCTCTATGTTCAAATGACTTGTCATTATTTTATTGTGAAAAAAATGTATATCTCAGACAAAACTTTTTTTTTTGTTATCTCACAATTCTGACTTGTATATATCATATTTATAATGAAATATATTTATTGTTATTTTTTTGTTGTACATAGATTATTATTTACCTGTAACATTGGGATATGTTTTTTAATCTTTCTCTTTGGTAATACATGTACTTTTTTATTTATTCAAAATTCCTGGAATCAAATTGTTTAAAAATATATTATTGATTAGAAAAAATATTTAATTTTGATAACCAATGTTATCTCCATGTCTTTAATAACTTAAATACTCTCTGGTTTAGAGGATATTTCAGTGCTCTTTGGTTTAGAGATTATTTTTGTACCGTCTGCTGCTGTTTTGTTGAAGTAAGCATGGCAGGCCAGTTTTGATAACCTGGTCTCTTGTAGGTTAGTGCTATAAACATGTTATGTGCTTTGTAACAAATTTTGCAGAGGTATTTTTACTCTACAGTGACACTTTCACATATTTTGTTTGAAAAAAAAACAACAATATGCATGACAATATTTTGATGTGTATAAAAACAATGAAGTAGTTCTGTTGAATTGTTAATCATAAGTCATTTTTTCCTTTGGCACATGTAACCATAAGTTTAACCATCAAGTTTTCTTTAACAAATAAACTTGTCCTTTGTTGTGTTTCCATGACAACAAAACCAAATTTTTGTTACCTGCTTATTTTGATATATCAGAAAACAAAAAATATGCTACCATCCATACAGAGTGTGGTCAGATTGTACATATTTATACAGGCTGACCAGGCTCTATACTGGTGGCAAAGTTTTAATCAAGTTTGACTACAGCAGGGTTAAAGAAAATGGGAATACATTACACAAGTATTATGAACAAAAATATGTAACAACAATGATATTTATATACTCATATCTGAACTTGACAAATAAAAAAAATCTGATACATAAAATCAGACAATAAGATGCTAAGTATTTTATGTCATTTTATACATACAAGGCTGAAATGTTATTTTCTAGGAAAAGAAAGCCAGATACTGATAAAATCCAATCTGACAGAATGATCTCATTAAGAATCTGATTATAACCATGTTGGATAAAATTCTAATAAACTTATTTCATGTAGTTGGTAAAATTTAAAATTGTTTTCATTCTAAATTTCATTTTACTTTGTTTTCAATTATAGTTTTAGGATTTATACAAAGTATATAGATTTCTCTCTGATTTTTCTTCTTCTGTTTTAGCAAAAAACATCTAGATTTATAGTGGTTTATGTACAGGATTTTGCACTTTATTTTCAGTTTTGTTTTCTAGTCATTTTTGGGTTAGCATTTTATTGAGATAAATTCATGCATTATTTTGTCTTTAGTTTTAGCAAAGCCTGTTCTAAGTTTCGACTTTTTTCAAAGAAAACTGTCAATTATTGATTTGTTCAAATAATGAATTGATAGAAATTGACATTTTTTCAATCAATGACAAATTCTTTAACCTAGATATGTTCATTTTACTGATAAACTTATAAGTTTAACATAATATCCACACAAGAAATTGTTCAATTTTTCCATATCTATTTAAAACAAAACCTGGAATAACACTGTTTTATGTAATTGGTTTTATATGAAATGAGGAGATTTTGTTTGGAATGCATGCTATTGAGTTGTTTACATGTTTAATAAATGTGGTGTGTTTTTTATGTTAATCATATTTACTTTGCATGAACATTTGCTCAGTACATTTACATAGCTTACAAAGAAGGGTAACTGTATAATTAAATAAATGAGTTTTGTTGGTATGAATGTTGAATATAAGAGGAAAATGATGAAATTGAAAAGCTCAAATTCACAGAGTGTAGGAATGTAAATATGCTAGGCATATAAGCTGTGTAAATGTATTAATTAACTGGTCAGATATTCATGCATTGCTTGCCCCTCGTGTTTTAAGGATCAATGGACCAGCCCTACGGATTGTGAGATAGAAATCGTAATAAATACTGCTAGCATTGTCAAATGCAGACTAATAAACAGCATTGCAAATTTTATTTTCGAGTTTTTCTTATTCTTGTATCCCTTCTACACCCACCACATCACTATCGAACAATTTGTGCCGAACAATTACTGCCGCAAATTTGGACCTATCAATTGTTATACAGTTCATTCCTGTCCAAGTATAACCCCATTATATTATCCAAACATATCATTGAAATCTTGTATAATACATGTATTATCATTTTGTATGACAAATATTGTCAGAAATCCTAGTCTAATGACTGAGATACTGTGCTATATTTCAATATTTTGTCAGGATTCACTAATCCCAGTGTTTGACTGGGATATTGGTATTAATCTCGGATATATAACGACTGCAGCATTGGAATTATCTTTTTACGTATATGACTGAAAAATACTGTGATATTTATGATTACAAAGCAATAACTGCACTTATCTTAATATATGAATTAATTACTAGAAGTGACTAAAAAAATTGGCCCAATCTAAGTACAGTACATGAATATAACAAAAACATTGTTTATACCGTAAATACTGACACTTTACCCAGAATTATTAGATAATTGCTGGCACTTTTACCAGTATATGACTGATATTTTGCCCAACATTTGTCTGGGATAAAGACATATTTTTTTCACTGAATGACCGAAATATGCTTCCTATCAGAGTAAAATGTCTGAAATACTGGCATTTTTCCCAGTACAAAGCTGAATTCTGATATCCCAGTATATGACTGAAATACTGATAATTATATAAAAAAAAAAAAAAAAAACAGAAAAAAGTAACCAATGAACGAGCATCTGAATATGATATTTCTGTCGCTTTCCTCTTCTCTGCTGTCACAATAAGTTAACCCCAGCAAAAATGGGCCAATCAATGGACATGCTCTTGAGTGCGGTTAAGTTATACCTGCACTCCAGTTAATGCACTGTGCATGTATACGATTTAACTCTAACACATTTTCAACAAAAAGGTCCCCATGTCAGAATTATTGCTACGAGGGTATAGGGAATGTACTGTTTCAATAATTTTTATACATGTCAAAGCCTGGATTTATAAATAACCGTATGAAATCGCTTTCTTATTTGTTTACTTTATTCGCATGCCACATTCATTGTCTAATTTAAAACTCCGCCCATATCCATAACTTCATATTTGCCAGATACCACGTCAATACCTGTTAAATAAGTCAACTTATTTTCCACATACACCAGTCGTGTATGCAATATATTTCAAATATATTGGAACATTTGATTGTATAAGAAAGTGGGACAAACGGTAACATTGATTTAATTGCCAAAAATGCGGACATCAATTCAAAAGTTTACCGCGTTCTAAACTTTTAGTCTGGTTACGTCAAATTTTTACCTAATCGAGGTCGATAACAGTGTAAACAGTAGTCCAGTCGTGTTTTTATTTGTAAACAAGAAAAGAATGTTATGGTATTTTATGTCACTCATCATTGTTTACATGTTTCTGTATAATGATTTACGACTTGTATCCTTTCATTTGATATTCAAAGCTTATTTAATGTTTGTGAGAATTAAGTTAAGAAAATGATTAAAAGTTTTATGTTTTCGCGATAGGTAAAGTAGGGAAGTTGACGAGCGTTTTTTGTTAAATTATTCTAAAAAAGAAAGTAGATCTAATAATATTTTTCAACATCTAAGTAAATTTAATGTATCTGCTATTTTTTCAACATGAAACGCTTGGATTAGTAGAAAATATAACGTAAGTTACTAACCTGGGCTCTTAAACCGATTGACTATACGATACGGTAAGTGTAGGCTATCCGAATCTAAAGCAGTCCGAATCACTTCATTTAATTTCAATAAAAAGAAAATGACATGTTCCTAATGTTTCCTTGGACAGAAGAAAAAAACTAGCACCTGTGTGTACGGATTTTAGAATCTGTCCGCAGCTATTTTTAACTTTCTGATTTTACCCACTATTATTTCTTCAATATTTATGTTTCTCTACAAAATCACTCCGATTACTTCTATGGTTAGGGTTAGTTTTTTGGGTTAGATTTTAGAGGGTCCTAGGTTAGGATTAGGATGTTAAAATATGGATTTTGCTGCAGACACATTCTACAAGTGCTCCAATCAGTTTTTATAGTAGGTTCATTCCGTAATTGTTGTACATGTATATAATATATTTATAGTCTGATTTTATTGACCTGTCAATTATGAATACATAGAGGATATTCAAGTTTTTTCTATAAATACATGATTTATATTTTCATTGAGTGGTATGAAAATAAATATTTCATGAGTGGCGGTAGCCACGAGTGAAATATGGTAATTTTCATGCCACAAGATGAAAATAAATCATGTATTTATAGAAAAACTTGAATTTTCTGTTTATTATGTACATTTTTCTCTTTTTTGCAATAAAATTTGAAAAACTTTCCCTTAAATGTTGTGTACTGGTATAATTTAAAAGAAAGTAGTCCGGCAAGACACCAGTGAAAATACGGAAAATATGTTTCACTGCAGTGAAAAATAAATTTTTACAGTGAAAATACGGAAAATGAAAATACGCATTTTATTTCATCAATATTTCTCAATATTTCATTTATAAGTATATAATAAATTATAGCACTCATTTAAATATTCGATCCCACTTCGGTTGTGTCCGTTTATTTTACGAGAATTAATATGGAGTATATAAATAACGTTTGGAAAACTCTCACTATCTTAATAAAGATTCTCGTAACATCCGCATTAGCGCAGCGGGTTAAGTGATTACCTACTGCATGAGAGGTCTGAGGTTCGATCCCTTCTTTCGGCATTCTTTTTAGACTTATTCTTTCTTTATTTTTAAGATTTTTTTAATAAAATGGTCAAGCGCCTGCAAAATTGTCTACACGGATATGAAACACCTAAGAAACCCTGAATTGTCACATTTTGTATTGTATTTTACGGTACTGAAATTACATTTATTGATTTTAATCCGAATGAATTTTCAGAATTAATTCTATTATAACAAACAGTTATAATATAACAATGTTATATACAAAAGTACAGTATTTACAAAGAAAGTGCAAAAACATAATTATTAAAAACGGAACAACCATAACTTTAAAAATGTTGAAAATAGTTATGAATAAGAAAAAAAACCTGGACATATTCTGACTTGATCTTACAATACATTGGACATTCAGATAAAATACCCCCGTAGTGCACCCTATTGCGCTATAACGGTCAGTGTAACTTATTCATCGAAACTAGATAAGTTTAATCACATCTTACTGCGTACCTCTCACGGAATTTACCGAGCATTTATCGAATATTAATATATGCTGTGCATTGACCGTATAATTAGTATGGAATTGACAGGTTAATAAAACCAAACAATATAATATAGTACCATGTAATTAAACATCTCTTGCTGGTTCAAGGAACACTTGTGTTTTTTGTTGCCTTTTTATGACACCGAAACATACATGTACCCTGAACAACCAATATTCAAACAGTTAAGCTATTTTAAACCAATATTAAATGGTAGGGAAAATGATGCTTTAAATTTATTTTTGAATATATATTAAAGCATCTATCAATGTCTAGAACTGCAGGCTAGTATCACTTACAAATGATCTGTTTTACAGTCATCAATGATAAAAATTGAAAACAAATTATGATTCCCCTATTTAAAGTCTAATGAATATTGAGAGGTACATCACCTTAATAGTTATTAGATTGAGGGAAATGGTAACACTATGCAGCCTATTCTTTATAAAAAATCACTTAACCGGATTTTTTTTATCGCTATATTAATTACGTGACTATTATATAATTAATATACATGTAGTTAGATTAGGATAATTTTGCATTATTACACATAAAACAAACAGTTTCTTATTATTTTTTTGCTCTAAAAATACCTGACAAAACTATCAAGTTTGTCAATATAAAATGTGACTCTCAGCAATTCAGTCTTATATGACATCAGTGCCGCAGAATTTAGAATGTGTTCGAATTTAGGTAGTGATTGAAAAATGGTTGTTATGGGGAAACTATCAGCCAAAAATCACTATTTAAAATTTATTGTGGATGGCAATTCGCAGAATTCGAAAGATAAATTTTAATCAGTTAATTTAAGAATCTTGAAGATATTCCTGACCACTTTACGCTTTAGCTATCCATTTAAATGGTATGCTGCAATGGTGCACACAGCAGTATGGGTACCTAAAAGAATTAAATAAAAAAGCTCATATCTTATATGAACGAACTGCATTATTTCAAAAAATCGTATCTAGAATTTAAGAATTTAGTATTTGGTAATTCTAGTGTTGAAACTATTCCTATGTAATATTTATAGAAACGTTTTCTTTACAAACATTACGATTTATAGCCAATATATAAACGGATTACCAATTTTACCTAATAATTTTTGTTCAACATATCAATTGTCGCGTTTTCAAAAAGCGCCCGTGTTTACCCGGACGACTTGCAAATGCCTTACATATTTTTAGTGTCATTCTCTGGAATAATAATGATAAAAAAACTTCTGTAGACTAGATTATAGCATGTGTTTGAAGTATGTCAATTGTCAAATAAAACGGACTATTTCTTATTGTAGAAATTTTATTGTTATGGCAACATGCCTGACCACCACGACAATTTATTAAGTCAAAGAGACGATTCATACATCACTGAAAGTGACAACAGCTTCAAAAGGTTTGTAAAAAAAATGTTGTTTAAATATTGATATAGATTTAGTATTAATTGCCCTGCAAAAAATTTTGTTTAAATATTGATATAGATTTGCTATTGAGTATTTATTGCCCTGCTTTGCCTCGATATGGACAAACTTCTTCCTCTCTGTATACAATATTCACCCGCCAAAATGGGCGTTAACAGAAATATTGGCCAGAATGTTACCGGGACTATTGGGTCAAAGCGGCCTCTGTGCCTCTGTCGCCTTGAGATTCAAAGTCCCTGCTATTTCTCGACGTTAGGATAACGTTGTTAAAGTTAAATGCAATATAAACTGATACTTATTTGATCTTTATATGGATGGACATGTGTATATACTACTTTATATTTCATTGCATTATTGTTCTTGTTTTACATTACAATTAATTATAAACTACTTAATTTCAATATTTCTGTTTATCTGTTGATTGCCTCCTATATTCTTATACATGTACATGTATATACAACAGTAGCCCTAATTACTGGAACGATTTAGAATTAAGGTCACTGCTACATATTCTCTTCCTTGACTATCTTCCCATTTATAAAAATCTTTTTAGGGTAAGAATGTATTTCACCGTCATATTGTGGAAACCGACTGCAATCATCGCAGAAGCACCTTTTAATTTTTAACTAGCAGGTCCAATTATTGTCCAAGCATTTATTATCTGTGTTGGCAATACCATTAAAATTACCCTGGAATTTTACATGAGAGATATTCAGCGACGGTCTTTTTCATGGCATTTTAAATTTTCGTTAATTTTACAAAACTAAATACATGAAAAAAGAAATTCTAATATCTGGTTTGAATACGATAGGGAAGTAATATTTGTAAGGTTACCAATATGGAAAATCTTTTACATTACTAATTAGAACAATGTAGAAATCACATTTTCCCGACGAGTAAATTGGTATAGATTGATGTCAACCATGATATTTGTCTTTCAGTCATAACAGATTGAGTAACATCGATCATAGAAGAAGCCAGTATATACCAGACCAGTTTCACCCTAATCAAGCAGATTTTACTATCCATAAGGTATATTCCAGTTGCTTGTTCAATATGTTTTGTCTCGTTCAATATGTTTAAAACATTATATGTGCCACTGGCAGCCGGTACATGCCAGACTATCCAGCTGAGGGCGGAAATCAGGCCGAGTTATCGTTAAACTCTTGGAATTTTGACATTGTTGTCATGTATAGTGATCATGAATAACTGCATGTGCTGAAGAAAACACTTCCATCTTCATATAAAAGATAGCTTCAGTAAAATAATTTTTAATTGCAGAATTGCCAAATGTTATAAATTGCCTGACCCTTTGTTTTATTTGTTCATTTATTTAAAAGATTGGTTTTGTTTCAACTTATTCATATGTTGTATAGGACCCAAATCACAGTTTGTCTACAAGACATGATAATTCAGAAATACCAACTGCCAATCAGAAAAATAAACTCGACATGGCACGACCGTTTAGTTTAAACAAACCGCCCGTCAAAATGGACAATCCAAACACGTATCCACAAAACCAGAAAGAGGAAATAGGTGCACACTGGCCTCCTGTGTCCGTACCTTCTCCCAGAAGTAGCAAATCAGACAGAAAACGGCATGAAGAGATGTTAAGCAGAAGTAGTAGTACCAATAAATCACCACGACTCAGAAAACCAAGTACACCATCAACGACACAACATGCAAACCCAGTACAGCTACCATGTGGGACGACACATAGTAGCAGTAATGCAGGCACTCAGAATACACCTAGGTGATTATAACCATTTATATAGTTAAATTATTTCATCCTTCAGTTCTAATTATATTAGATCCCAAATATAAATTACAAAAACTATATTGCCTCCATGTAAATCCGTCATATCCAGCAATGTTTCACCTTATTTAACAAAGGCCTATAAAATTCTCTTTAAAATCATGCAGTTTTCTGAACTTACACCGTTTTTTATACTTCCCAAAATTTCTGCGATAATTCTTCACAAAATCTTTATTTCCGTAAACAATTACCCAAATCAAAGAAGGATATGACTAACATACATCGTTACATGTGTTCAGCTTTTATCCAGTTTTGTAAATAAACTACAAGAAAGTAGTAATATTGCACTGAAAATATAAAATTTATTCATTTTTTTTCGTAGCATGCTAAGTGATGGACCAGTTTGTCGAATCTGCCATGATGGTGATCGAATAGAGGTGCTTGTCTCCCCATGTTATTGCGCTGGTTCCGTTGGATTGTTGCACGTGTCTTGTCTACAGATGTGGCTCGGGTCCTCTAATAAAACGTCGTGTGAAATCTGCAACTTTAAATTCACACTGCAAAAACGGGCATGTCCGTTCTCACGGGTAACTATCATTTTCTATATTGGTCCGAAGTTTTCATAACCATTGAGTTGACCAAACGATTACATTGTGCTCATTGTAACATCGACGCTGATTGTTTTTTTTTATATATAAGACACGGAAACAAATCAAATAAACCGGGACCTTTTTAATGTACCGGCTACTGGACCATTTGAATATATATATGCAAAAACTGTCCCGGAAAGAAATCACCTGTATGTGAATAAAAATCACATATTTGTAGGATCTTACGGTGCTTATGTTACAGTTATTAATTTTTTTAACGTGCACACCAACATATTACTGTTGTGTTACTGCCAGAATTTACTAGAAATAATATCACTTAATACTTCTGTTACTGCTAACTTCACTTATACAACTTAAACAATGCTCAGCAGAAACATATTTGATTTGGTAACTGATGTTAGAGACCTTTACTTACGCCTTGTAAAGGTTGCTGACCCCAAATCTTCTACCAATGGATCTCATGGTTCAAGTTTCACTTGGAGCGTTTAATTCTTTCATATGAGTAACATATACGAGAGTGTTGCAAAAAGTTCTGTCAATGAGCTTGAATCTTTTAAACGCTTAGTATTTTCAAACTTATATTTATTAAAACCTTCAAATATTTACCTTTGTACCGAATCACATTATATAACCTTTGTACTTTCACCAAACTACAATTGAGCAGGTGCAGTATAAAGTCTTCATTTGTAAACCAGAAAAACAAAACTTAACAACATCACACTTATTTGAGAGGATCGACCGCTGGAAATCTTTTGTTTGGACGTTATTTTTATTGTAAAACTCATTTACATTCTTCAATACTGTGTTCTTAGGCGATTGAATAAATGTACCACTTAAAGAACTTTGCTTGTAACATCTTTTACTAACTTGAGGCTTAGACATGTACACCAAGATAATGTTACCTGTGTATAAGATATAAATAACTATCGAAACTTTGTATCTTTTAAAGAGAGAAAATTGTTCCCAGGTACATTTAAATTATTGCTTCTATTATTTGCCAATTAGCAATTGGGGAACCCGCCCAGCGCAAATCTTTCCAAAATGCAAATTAATTCTAAAAAAAAATTCACTGTCATCTGATATACCAGTACAATTTTCTTTTCTTGACAGAATCGCATCCTGTTCGGCAAAAACGTTGACCTTGCAACGGACATTGCTTATGGACCAGAGGCCTTCCAAAACGGGAATAATCTTAGACAAATAATGTTCGAACTATCAAGCATTAATCAGTCCCAAAAACTGCGAACATTGAATTAACCTGAAGTCAATATCTAGCACACCATGCTTTGAATAACCATCATTCCTTCAATACAGCTACGTCTTACTGTCAGTTTATATATGTTACAAGTAAACTTGCCAGTATATATGACGGCATGTACCTAATACATTTTGTGAAATATATTTTGCGGCCATTATAAAAGCAATGTGCGCGAAATAAACGGATATCATTATTGACTAAGGAAGCCCATTATTGACAGAACTGTTTGCATTTTTTGTGACTTTCATTTCAAAACACAGGCACTGAGTCTCTTTGATTTCAAATATTTTCTGTACAATGAAGTTAACTTAATTTTGAATATGTCGAAAATATATAATAATATGCATTATACACGTATTTCCTTTCAGTTTCTGGCAAATCCGGGTTCTGCTCGTGACAGACGGAATATGATATTGTACATGTTGAATATATTTCTGGTAACACCGTTGATAATCACCATGGCGGGAGCACTGTGTTATCATGGCAGTAAAGTATTTTTTGACAATTTGATAAAGGCCAAGTGCATCTCTCTGATTAAGCCAGCTTTTTTGTTGTAATAAATAGAGTATGGTCATGTATTCATAGCTAGTGCATTGATAACGTTTTTATGTTGGAAAATGTTCTCATGTTTGGATATATCAGCAGTAACATGATTTTTAATTTGTATAGCTATGTCTACAAACCAAATCCATTATATCACATTTATTGGATATTCAACTATGGTAATTATCCACTTATTCGTCAGTTGCATTATGTATTTATTTCGTGTTAACTACATTAATCTTATTTGTAAATTGCATTTCATGCAATACAATGTATATCATGTTCGGCATTGGTGATATAATTATTTTACATTTACAGATAAAATTCTGTCGGACAGACCTGTGGAGAGATACGCTGTTATAAGCTTAGGTGTTGCTTTAGTATTATCCTACAGCTTGGCTGCTATGGTATGTTATATTGCTACTTTATCATTTACCCTCATTTTGATAACGAATTAGCTTCTCGTTAAAGTTGAATAATCATATCATATGAAAGATATTATAACGCCTTCTGCGTTTAACCATTGATGTACAGAACTACATATGTATTTGAAATCAGTTTTTACTGCAAAAAGGCAGAGACAGTTCTGATATTTAAAAATTCATCTCGTATGTAAGACCGCATTGTTAGTAAACAAAGTCATTGGTGTTTAATCCGAATTTTAATCTTTAAAGTGATCAGCAACAAAGTGACAATTCAATCATACAAAACATTCAAAAACATCAACAAGAAATTCGTCATAAGTTATATAGAATATACATTGTAAAAGATCCCATATCATTGCGTTCACTTCTGGTTTACCATCATTGTAGTTCTCCGTGAGGCAGATTTGTTGGTTGTACAAAGATTGGAAGATGTTCCACCAAGAAGTTATATTATTATGTACTCCAAGTGACAGACCAAAACAAGATACTGATAATGTAAAAGTAAATATCATCATTTTCTGTTTATTATTTACTGTTGTTTTTAAATGACCGGCTACTATCCTAAATAGCGTAAAGGAATAATCAATCTAACAAGGGGAACTTGTTTATGTCATATAATAATAATGGCATATCTGAGTGTTTAAAGTGCAGTGCATGTGAACGGACGGCCGTCATAAATCAACGATTGAGCGTGCATTGTTTCGATTAATAATTGCATTTTATGTAAAAATATATACTAATATTGACAATACATGTACTTAGCGTTCAGAAACAGGCGTATTCTTAATTATTACTACTAATAAATGTATTTGTATTAATGATATTTTTAAAAAAGAAAAACGACAAATCAAACAACAGCAGCAACACAATAGAACAAAACAAAATTAAATCAGTTAAACGAGACTGCTCGCGGACTATTGATCGCGGAGATACAGTCATAAATGAACCTTTATTTAATTAAGCTGCTATGCACAAATCTTGGAATCAAAGTAATATGGTAGCGACAGTTGCAAATCGCGCCATGTTCGTTGCTTTGACGTCTATATGTTTAAATAAATCACAATGAATTGAAAACACCATAATTGCCACCATATACTTTGGTGTTTATCTGGTACATTGCAGGGACAAAGTGCAACTCAAATATCAGGTAGTGTCGGTTCTCGGTCGACATTGGGAAGCATCAAACTGCAAAAAATTAAGGTGAGTGTAACAGGTCGTATGGCAAGGTACAAATTACGACAGTATCAAGGAGCATCTGCAACACCGACAACAACAACAACAGCACAGAATACAAAAGGACCTCAGAGAACATCAGACTTTTCCAGCGATCATAGTCACAAAAACAGAATGCATAGTCGTTCCAGACATTCAATGTCACCAATAAATCACAAGAAAATACCGGATCAAAATAGTCATTTCCAGCGTCAACCAAGTGAACCTCGTTCAAGAAGGAGTTACAGTGGAGAAAAAACAAACACATCAAAAGATGGGAGCTATCTCCGTTGTAATACTGGAGAGCATGTTGGGGAGCATACTGGAGAGCATGCTGTAGAGCATACTGGAGAGCATGCTGGAGTTTCACATTTAGGTCATCAGAGTGATAGACATCGTCGGCATTCTAGTCAATATAGTTCAGTACCTACTTGCAATAAAGATAGTCATCACCAGACACCTCTTAGAAGGTTAGATGAATCTGCAGAAAGAAGATTTTATAAAGGGGAAGAGGACAGTGGTGCAAGAAATTTACCAAAAGGATCAAGAATAACGACAGACCCTCCTGCATATATTGATGGGAACAGAAATGCAGGACGATTAGAAAAAGCCGACTTAAAACTAATGCACACACGAGATGCAGATAAAATATTCAGTCGTGGAGGAAGCCCGTCTGACGATGACAGCTTGCATATGAATTTACCGTACGACGATTTCGTAACGAAATGGATCAATGATCAAAAGAACATACTAGGCACAAAGAACAAACAGTTAATAGAACATCGAGATGCTAGAGTAATGTGCCAATCAAACGCTCGTGAAGAAGTTTTATGTGAAGCTGTTCAGTCTAATTCTGAAGTTTTTGAAAAATGTAACACTCCTGGCCCAATACAAAACACTGTCACAGCTATAGAACATGAAGAAGCTTGTAGTTCCAACCAACTGTCTGACACTTTAAAGCGGGCCAGGAGTTGCATTGAAAAGTCAGACTTTACAGTCAGTGCACCTGTCCCGTTAACAACTCATGCGTCTTATACGACATATTCAGCGTACACTGGCCATATTGAAGTAGATTCTGATGATCCAAATAATATAAAAACCAAGTTCTCGAAAAAGTACAAGACTTGAAATTGTCTAGAAATACCTAGAATTTTTCTGTTGTTAATAAGATAACTTGCCAGCGCCTCTGGTAGTTGAAATGAAATTAAATGTTGTTTTATTTTAGTTCAAATGAACATACGCCAAATATTGTTGCTTATTAAATGTTGTTTTATTTTAGTTCAAATGAACATACGCCAAATATTGTTGTTTATTTATCTTGATTGTTGTTCTTCGTTATTGAAGTTTTCAATTATTAAATCTCGTTTTTTGTATGTCATTACATATATGTATGCTTTGAAACTGTGTTCCTTTTATTATTTCTTTGCTGTTTTTCTTACGTCTATTAAATACCTACATACACATTTTAATCTGATTGATACTTTAAATTCCAATAAATATCACAATTACCGGAAAGGAAAGAAGGCTGAAAATGTAACGGTAATATGGGGGAATGAAAGCTGAAAACAGGAACGGAAGTAAAATTCATTTAATAGAAGTTGAGATATTTTATCCCAGCCGGAAACGGAGGTACATAGCTCAGTACATCTTTCTCTGTTTAGACGTTCGTCCCCACGGCGTCCTCTTAAAACTATTTCAGTCAGAAACCTTAAATTTATAGCTGGTCACATATGTCATTGAAAAGAAGATCGGTGCTAAAACAATTATAACCCTCTTTTGTGAAACTTTGGATTCATTTTTTTTCCTCATTATAACTTCTCAGGTAAATAGATCTAATCTCAAGGAGGAAAATTGCAGTGTACACGAACAATAGCCATGTTGCATAATTGTCTTTTAAACTAAAAGGTCCATTATGCCCCAGAAATGCTTTTGTTTACATTTCTCAAAAGCTTTTTATTTTTGATGCACTTTTATAGTTTCTAAAATGTAACTCATTGAACCATCTTTTTCTTCTTTTAAATTAGTTCTGTAATAGTGATTAGAAGGCAAAATACTACTTTGTTAACATTTTGATATTTTCTTGACAAATATCTTTACATTTGGCGCTAATTTCGTCATGTTAGCGTCTAACGTGCTCTCAAACTATTTTTAAACGTTATAAAACTCATGCTATAGCCCTTTCCAAAGAAGTAAAAAATTAACCGTTTTTGAGGCTTAATGTGCCTTTAACTTTATTATCGGGCAAAACTCATATACAGGTAACAAAGGTACTAACTTAGGCAACGTGCCAGGTCTACGAACCATAACTATATTCGCATAATTTTTGAGTTACAGTCTTTTGTATTGATTCATTTTCAATTTAAGTCCAGTGTTATACTGAAAATAATTTTAAACCGCTGAAATAATCTTATTATGGAGAAACAAACTGTTGCAGAAACATAACTCTCTTACATTTAATTTTTCATCTGGGGCGATATACCACTGATAGATCCCATTAAGGAAAGAACCATAATTTGTTTTGCAAAACTTTATAGTTATTGCCCTTTGTATATATTTTCAGTCAACTTGTAGTTAAATAGAGGATATTAAATGAGCGTAAGTTTGATAACGAGTAAATATGGACAATACTTAGCCACAAACTTAACAAAATACGGTCAGCTAACCTCAAATATTTATCTATGAAAAAGGATACAAAATGGAGTCATCCCCCCACACACAACCCACTTAACCTACCCTCAGTGAAAAGACAATTCAAAATAAAATGTTGTGTTCTCTATTTTAAGCTGAATTATAAAATTATATTATGCGAGCCTTTTGCGAGCATAATATTATTTTATTCAACGAGTTCAATAAATTCAGTAGTGAACTTACACGAATTTAATATTCTATTTATCACATACCCAAAATAAAGACTGTTTTAAGTGAAATAGAGTCATTTTTCATTGATGCACCTATAGTACAACGCTAACATTTACATGTAGATGTTTGTTTAACGCCGATGACGTCACGTCAAAATATATGCACGGCCGTGCAATACCGTTTTTACGGAGTCGCAAAATCGGCACGAGTATGTGATCAATTTCATTATGATGTATCAAGAACTATAATGATGTACACGTTTAAAAATTGTAAGCAATGATCGCATTAGTGATTCCAAGATCTCTTATGTAAAATCTTTAATTAATCCATATGTGATACGATGTACATGTATATATCACAATCAACCTAATAAGTTAATGACGAGAATAAAGATCAACAAGACAAAGGCAATCACAAATGATATATGATCACAAATGTTATTTCAAATGACAAATCACACATGATATTTGAAGTTCTAATAGATTGAATGTAGATCTAACTGTATTTAAAAAATTAAGCATAAACATACTGTTGTTACACTTGAAACTTAAGATTGTAATCTGTATCATATTAACGTACATTTACAAATGAATGACCAAATGAAATTAAAAATGTCAATTTAAATAATATTATATTTTAAAAGGATGTCATTTGGCTTAACACTCTTTTTTTTTATCATAACGCTGGTATGATGTACAAAATACTAAACGCCTCAATTTACTCACTGGTCTATCTTTGCAACTGTTAACAATCCTGTATCGTCGGGGATCAAAGTTTCTTTATAATGTTTGTTGACATGCAGCATGAATAAAAACAAGTGTATATTAAATAGCTTTAAAACGTTAACTTTAATGAGTTAAGGCTGCTGTTTTTTCATCAAAGATGTTTTATTGTAGGCTTATAGTTTACTTTAGTATGTAATGAATTAAAAAAATATATCTGAATTTCCTTTAATCTTAGTGTTCTTCAACATGGGACTGAGTTATAACAGGCCGGCTATGGTACGGCAATGTACGGCGAATATTATATCCCGTATTGGTTGCAAAATGTGCAAATAACTTCCGCTTTCGGTTTCGTTTTAAACCTTCATTGTAAATGATGGTTCTTCAGTTAACGTCTAATTTGTTGCTGTTCCACAGTTGTCACCTACAGATCGTCAACTGGTAGGTAAACTTTAACATATTGTACATTTCTGTTACACACTGATGCCAATGGTTCCATTTTTTATTCGCCTTTTACTGTTCGAATTTTTCGAATGCCTATGTCTATGACAAATATGGATTTCCCAAGGAAACAGCTGGTTTCGTTTTCATAAATGAAGTTAAAATATTTAGGAAATACACTAGCAAAGTTTGTTTTGATTAATAGTTCTTGAAATCAATGATATACCATGAACATTTAATGATAATATAGCTATTAAACAGTTAACATTTTAACTTTCAACACTTTAGTAGAAGGAATAAACACTGATAAAAGTTCTCCTGCTCCAGTTAATGTTTGCCAACTTTGTTTTAATCTTATATATTCTATATTGAATCTTGATACCATATTCCCAGTTGCAGTCCAGAAACCTAAGTTGTATTATTGAAAGCATTACAATCTGAAATATATACATTAGCTTATATTTTATTTTATTTGGGTTCATCACAAAGTTTTTTCAGATTTAATTGACCTGTCTGTTTGCATACAAATGATACAGTACCTTTTGAATCCACCTGAAGAATACACAAGAAACAATTTTTTTAGTCTTCATCTCTATATAAATCTTAAAGTACACAGATAGGAATGGCTTGAACAATTGCACTAAAAATTGTTAAACAAAACTTGGCCAGGTCTTATAATACTGTAAAAGGGTAATTGCTTAAATGTTAATTAACTCATTTTGCACTTTTTTGTTTCTCTTTTTGTTTTGCGTTTCAGGCATAATTGCCTTAAGTAAATTATAAATAAAAGATAGGCACTGTTAATTGATTGATTGATTGTTTTATCAATCAATCAATCAATCAATCAATCAATCAATCAATCAATTCAGCAATCAATCCTTTCTGTCCTGTTTGATTGATTATTATTTTTTATATTTCTCTATTAATTATAGAATCAATCAATCAATCAATCAATCAGCCAGCCAGCTTGCCAGCCAATAAATGATTAACCTTTAGAGTCTTAATCCATAGTCTCAACTTAAAATGTCACTATATACATGTACTACATGTAATTAGATAGCTTTAAAGTGAATTAAAAGTCATCTGAAAAAAAGATTTTATTATACCTTATACTGAACTATATATAAGGTACTTTTTTACAATACATGCATGTACATTTTTAAAAACCAAAATGGAGTTATATTTGTGTAACATATAAAAAATATGTGAAACTGATTATTATGGTAGAATTCTTATTTTTTTATGATTTATATTACTTGTTTAAACAGGAAACCAAAGCTTCTGAACTAACCATGCCTTTGATCATATTTACTTATTAAATTCAGATTCTTTATTAGATTTTGTATAAAGCAGATTCTAAAATATAAATCAAGTGTTAATAAAACTTGTACAAATTGTTTTTGTAGGCTTTTACTATTGATCTAGAAGACAATGGGTGTAGAACAGTCAAAGAGTAAGCAAAAGAAAGGGCTCCAACGATCAGAAGGTTTGTATTTTTACTTATTCATTTGTTTCTATATCTCTTGGAAAAGGAATGACAAGAATGCAGACCTATGCCAACAAAATAATATCAAACTGAGCTAGCATTGTTATGTGTACAATTGTCTTATATGATGGGTCGTATATTCAAGCCTGTGGTCACTCTGTGAGCTGGACAAAATTTCTCCATGACCACAGATCTCAGACATTGAGGCTAATGATAATTTATCTCTCACTGCTGATTTAGATATCAGTAGTTGCAGAGAAATCATTAATTGCTGGTCAGATATGACCAAAAATGTGAATAAATTAGAGTAAAAAAACCCAGACAAGCAAACAAAACTGCTACAAATATTTTATGTGTTCATGCAGCAACACATATTTTACTGTTGCAAATAATTTGCTTTGTTCTGCTACATGTATTAGACTCTATGTGTTTACAGATTTATCACTTTGTACTACTTATAATAGATACTTATTATAATAAGTATTTTGTTTTGTTTACCACAACTTAATTTCAGTAAATACAGGCCACCATGGGTTTCATATTCCCTGATACAATGGTCTTGCTTTTTAGCTCACCTGAGTACAATGTCCTCAAATGGCCAATTGTCCATCGTCCGTCCGCACTCACAGGACAGTAATTATGTGGCTAGAGGGACAATAGGTAACTGTTCTTTCTCTTTGATGTCATTAATTCCTTAATGCTTTTATGTGGCTCTTTTCTTTTGTGTGGCTCTAAAGAACAATAGAGAGAACAATAGAGTAGCCACATTATTACTCTCCTGTTAGAACGGACGTTCTTGCGTCAACAAATTCTTTAAACAACTTCTCCTCCTGAACCACATGGCAACATTATGTTGAAACTTTGCAGGAAAGTTTTTCAAAGAATTAAATTCCATGAAAAACTCTGGTTGCCATGGCAACCAAAAGATTTTTTCCAAAAATCTTAAAAAATCTTCTTGTATAAAAACGAAAGAGCTAGAACTTAGATATTTGGCATGAAACATTTTCTAGTGGACGTCTGCCAAGTTTTTTCAAATAAAAGCCCTTGGCCCCGCCCCAGGAGTCATTGATTTTCCTAATAATGTATAGAGTAAAAACCTTAAAAAATCTTCTTGTGAAAATCTAAAAGAGGTAGAGCTTAGATATTTGGCATGAAACATCTTCTAATAGATGTCTACCAAGTTTGTTCAAATAAAATCCCTAGGGTCAAAATTGACCCCGCCCCAGGGGGTCATTGATTTTCCTTATATGTATATAGTAAAAACTTTAAAAAATCTTCTTGTGACAATCCAAAAGCACTATAGATAAGATATTTAGCATGAAACATCTTCTAGTGGAAATCTACCAAGTTTGTTCAAATAAATGCCCTAGGGTCAAAATTGGCCCCGCCCCAGGGGTCATTGATTAACCTTATGTATTTAGTAAAAACTAAAAAAAATCTTGTGACAATCCAAAAGAGCAAGAGCTTAGATATTTGGCATAGAAAATCTTGTAGTGGATGTCTACCAAGTTTGTTCAAATAAAAACCTTACGGTCAAAACTGCCCTCGCCCCAGGGGTCATTGATTTTGCTAAAATGTATATAGTAAAAACCAAAAAAGGTAGAGCTTAGATATTTGGCATGAAACATTTTCTAGTGGATGTCTCCTAAGTTTGTTCAAATAAAACCCCATAGGGTCAAAATTGACTCACCCTCTAGGGGTCATTGATTTATAGTGAGAACTTAAAAAAATCTTCTTGTGACAATCCAAAATCGCCATTAATAGATATTTGGCATGAAACATCTTCTAGTGGATGTCTACCAAGTTTATTCAAATAAAAGCCATAGGGTCAAAATTGACCCCACCACATAATTTTCCTTATATTATATACAGTCATGTATATAGTAAAAACTTAAAAAGATATTCTTGTGAAAATCCTAAAGACCTAAAGCTTAGATATTTGGCATGAAACATGTTCTAGTGTATGTCTACCATGTTTGTTGAAATAAAACCCCTGGGGTCAAAATTAGCCCCGCACCAGGGGATCGAGGTGGACAGTTAAATCTGCATCCAGGTCAAATGTTTGTTTTCCCTCTCTTTTTCTATCATCTTTTTATTAGCTCACCTCTCACTTAGTGACATGCTGAACTATTTAATAAAATGGCTGACAGAAATTAGAAAACAACAATATCTAAACATCATCTTAATCACTGGTACAGTTTTGAAATAATTTTACACTAATATAGGTGCGGCTGTGTTTGAAAATAATTTTACATCTAGTATGAGGTTACCAGATAATGCATCAATTTTTACTGCCGAAGCAAAAGCTATCGATTTAGCATTGTCATACATAGCACAGCATACCCACGATAAATTTGTGATATTTTCTGATTTGCTTTCTGTTTTAATATCCATTAAAAATAAAAAATCTGACAATATCATGGTAAAGAAACTTCTTTTACGATTTCATGATATACTAAAAACAAAATATGTTAAATTATATTGGATTCCAAGTCATGTAGGAATACGAGGAAATGGAAAAGTAGATGCTTTAGCTAAACAATCATTAAATTTTCAAAAAACTGACTTATTGTTACCTGCTTGTGATTTTAGACCGGCTATAAATAAACTCTTATCATCTGAATGGAAAGCAAATTGGGACAATGCCGTTTTTAATAAACTTCACGATATAAACCCATCTCTTGATGTGTCACCATCTCTATCTCTGTCAAACCGCCATGATCAAACAGTTCTTCTTCGATGCCGAATTGGACACACTAAAATTACCCACTCTTATCTCCTCACAAATGACAATGCCCCTTTCTGTGTAGGTTGTAATGAAAATTTTACTGTCAAGCATTTTCTTCTTGAATGTCATGATTTTTCACAGGCCCATAATAGATTTTATTCTGTAAATTCACTCAAAGAACTTTTTAATACAATTCCATCAAAAAACATAATTGATTATTTGAAAGAGATAAACTTGTATTCTAGGATCTAATTGGCTCATTTCTATTGTCATTTACAATGTTTTACATAACATTTTAAGCCTATTATAGCATTCAGCACGATATGGCCAGTTATGGCCAGTAAAAATCCAAACAAACAAACAAACAAAACACAAATATTTCCTTGGTGGATGTGTACAAATTTTTTTCAGATTTAGCTGTCCTTTGTTTTTAAATTGTGCTTCTGGGGTGAAAAGGGTTTCACCTTTTGACCTATTTCACAGGTGAGCGATCCAGGGCCCTCTGGGCCCTTTTGTTTCTGCTACTGTTAATTTAACTGTGTGGTGCTGTGAGTATTTCACTGTTTATTGTTTTTTAGCTCACCAGTGTCACAAAGTGACATGGTGAGCTTTTGTGATCGCTTTCTTTCTGGCATCAGTCAGGCGTCCGTTCGTAAACTTTTACTTTAAACAACATCTCCTCATAATCCACTAAGCTAATTCATTGAAACTTCACAGGAATGTTCCTTTGGTGGTCAACTTTAAAAATTGTTCAAAAAATTGAATTCCATGCAGAACTCTGGTTGCCATGGCAACTGAAAGAAAAAACTTTAAAAAAAACTTCTTTTAAAAATCAAAAGAGTGAGAGCTTAGATATTTTGCATGAAACATTGTCTAGTCAATGTCTACCAAGTTTGTTCAAATAAAATTCCTGGGGTCAAAACTGGCCCCGCCCAAGGGGTCATTGATATTCCTTATATGTATATTGTAAAAACTTAAAAAATCTTCTTTTAAAAAACCAAGATAGCTAGAGCTTAGGAATTAGGCATGATACATCGTCTAGTCAGTGTCTAGCAAGTTTGTTTAAATAAAATCCCAGGGGTCAAAATTGGCCCGGCCCCGGGGAGGTCATATATATTCCTTATATGTAAATAGTAAACACTTAAAAAATCTTCTTTTAAAAATCTCAAAGAGCTAGAGCTTAGATATTAAGCATGAAACATCCTCTAATGGGTGTCAACCAAGTTTGTTCAAATTAAAGCCCTTGGGTCAAAATTGGCCCTGTCCCTGGGGGTCATATATATTCCTTATATATATGTATTTAGTAAAAACTTAAAAAATCTTCTTTTAAAATCCCAAAGAGCTAGAGCTAAAATATTAAGCATGAAACATCTTCTAATTGGTGTGTACCAAGTTTGTTCAAATAAAAGCCCTTGGGTCAAAATTGGCCCCGCCCGGGGTGGGGTCATTGTTTTTCAATATATGTGTATAGTAAAACTTAAAAAATCTTTTAATGGGTTTCTACTAAGTTTGTTCAAATAAAAGCCGTTGGGTTAAAACTGGCCCTGCCCCGGGGGCCTATATACAGGTGAGCGGTTTCAGGGCCGTCATGGTCCTCTTGTTATTGCTTTGTTCTGCATTAGGTATTTTCTTTGTGATTCAAGTATTATATTTAATTGTTTCCAGAGAAAAATCATGATGTAAGGCAGATACATAATCCTGCTCTTATCTTGTGTGAAGGAACTCCTGTGGATGGTGAATCTGAAAGCTTTAGGCTTGAAGAACAGAACACTAATGAAGATGAAGAGAATGAAATTGAAGAGGAAGCTGAGAATGTTATGACAGGTCTTCCAGGAGAGACAACTCCAATATTTGGTGCCAATACTCGTAATGACCAGCAAGATCAAAAAGAAACAGATAATGTACGAGAAAATATAGAAAGCACTATAGAAAAGGTTAAAGGTTTTCATGAAGATATGAACAAAATACAAGGTCAGTTTCAAGAAGAAACTGAAATACCCTCAGATTGTGACAATCCTAAGGTTTCTAAAGCAGAAGCATGTACATGTAACTTGAAACATGTTAATGATGTACACCTAAAATCTTCAAATGATAATGAAACTGAAAAAAGAAGGGTATGTAATAAGGACCTTTGGGATGTTGGTCGTCTTGTTCCAGATTACTATAAAGAGCTAGGTGGTTGTCAATCAGATAAGGATAAAGAAAAAGACAAAATAGATTGTGCACTCAGTCAAGACGAGTCAGTAGGTACGCGAAAGGTTCTACAAGAAATAAAAGTAGCAAGAGAAAACTTTGAGCAGCCCCTGCGTTTTGATTTGAATGGAAAGTTTAAAAAGAAGGTGACATCTGAAAATGAGGATAATAGATGTCATTATGATGTGGATGATGAAAAGTTTCCTCATGAATCCATTGTAAAATCTATATTTACAAATGTTATTTTCTTACCAGACAAAAGTAAGGGTGCTTCCCCAAAAAGATATGGCCCGAAAAGACTTGGTAGTATCTATGATGGTATTTCAGAAGATGACAATGTTGATGATAACAGTAGTGAATGTACTGCTGATGATAAAAGTGCTGAGAACATTCCAATACCGCAGGAAACTGAGAATGTGACTGACACAAACATTTTGGAAACTGTTGCAGAAGGAGAAATTAAAACAGACATTATAAAAACACCAGTGGCAAAGAAGGAAATATTATTTGATGAATTCATAAAAGACAAGTCAAAAGTGAATAATGTGAACACAAAGACAGTTGATGGAAAGAAAGAAGAAGCTATAATAGATCAAGTAAATGGTACAGAAAATTTGTTGTTTGTAGAGGATCACTTTGGACTTTATACAGGAGCTATGGCAGAGGGAATATCAAAAGAGTTTAAGGATGAGCGAGCATGGAAACAAAATGAAAATCAGCTTGGGCATACTGTACCAACACATATGAAAGATAGAGACAAAAATGACAATGTAAGTCTTGATGATGGTAATGCATGTACAGTTTCTCATGATGTAAGACAGCAGTCAAGTTTTGAAAGAAGAGACAATATTGATAAACTACAAGTTTTGGGCACTGAAAACAACACTAACTGTCAGTCACTAAATTTGCCAACTTCAAAATTTGAACACAAACATGAAATGAAGCCATGTAAATCCAAAGAAAAAGAGTCAGAAAATTTAAATGACACACTCCAAGATCAGGAGGAAGTTGATATATGTAAGAATTGTAAACAACCAAGAGACTTATGCCCTTGCTTGTTTCCAGGCATGAACACCGTGATGACTATATTATTTGACTATCAAAAGAAACCAGCTTTAAGTTACTTGAGGTACCTAAAAATAAATGAAAAAGAAATCAATTGGCCTATTTTAAAAAGTGCTCAAGCCATTTTCATAAAAGGGATTAAATCACATAATACTGAAATATCAGAGGACAATCGTGTTGCATTTAGATTTGACTTGCCTTCTAGTAAAGGTTTCTTTGGACCAGATCAAATACAAGAGAGAACAGAAGAAGATCTTAAACTGGATGTAGTGTGTGATGATAATTCAAGTATGAGCTTACTGAAATCTATTGAAAGTACATTTAGTATTGACATTTCTGGATTGAAGCTAACAGGCAGTATTGGCTCTTACAAAAATATTATGGTGAATGATTTTGATGAATGTAGCGATGCTGATGATGAGTTTAGTGAAGGTGATGACGAGAATTATGATTGTGATAGAAGCCAATGTAAAGATAATTCAGCTAGTGAAGAAAGTGAAAACATTGTAAAAGTTAATACATATGCTGTTGATAAAGGAAATAAAACATATTATGGAAAAACTCAAGGAAATATAACTGAAAATGAACTAGAAAGTCCAGCAGCTGATAAAGAATCTGGTTTTGAAAATGATCACTACATAGAGAAAGAATTAAAATTTGTGCATGGGCAACAAGGAAGTAATTGTGATGGTTTTGAGAAAGATAACTGTTTGCATTTGGGAAGTAAATTGAACATGCAAAGGTATGCACAAGATATCGGGAAAAATTATAACATAAAAGTTGATACCCATGGAAAGTTTGATCACTGTGAACAGTTTGAACAGTTACACAAAGTGATTAGCAAAGAAGGTTTGAATTCTTCAAATAAATGTGATATGAATGGTCAGGAAAAGGAAGACAAAATTGATTTAGTATTAGTAGAACATGCAGGAGAAAGAAATTTTGAATCTTTCAACAATGAAAATGTACCAAATGTTCTGGAAGGTTCTGACGTTAGTAATTTGGAAGGTTCTGACTTGGTCACAAATAAAAAAAGTATAGCTTTAATTGAGGGTGAAGTTAAATGTGATATTAAAAGTGATGAGTGTGAACTAAATGTTGGAGAGGATGTAATAAAGACATGTAGAAATAAAATGAATGAAGGTGCAATAAGGAGAAAGAAAGTCAATGAAGCTTATGATAAAGTTAAAAACGTGAGGTTATGTATTGAGGAAGATAATGATGAAGATGTAGCATTTCAATCAAATGAAGGAAATGAATGCTCATCCACAGTTTCAACTTCTGTGGTTAGAAGTACAGGAAACAAAGTTACAGGAAAAAGTTGCAAGGAAATATCCAGAAGTCTAAAAATAGAAAGTGAGAACAAACAGGAAGATAATGACAATGTTATATTTAGACAGAATGAACACAGATTTTCTTTAGAAAATGATACAGTAGTAGAGTCTTCAGAATATCAGGATCCATTTTTATTTGCTGATAAAGTTGAAAATCTAAACTCTCTGTCCTCAGAAGTATCTGTTGATTCTGTGGAAAATACTAAGTGTGAGACATCAATAGAAGCAGAAGCTGGAGCTTGTGTTTTGTCAGGACATGTAAATGATGAAATAGTTGATTGTGATAAAAATACTTCTGATTTTAAGATGAACAAAGGTATGAAAATGCACTCGACAAGTGGGTTTAAGAGGAAACAGACTAAAATTGAAGAAGATAACAGAAATGTTGATATTCATAGTGATGATGAAGAAGAAGAGGATTTGACTGAAGGTAAATTAGTTACTAAAGTAAAAGAGGAAAAGCAGTTTGGAAAACAAAGAGAAAATTTAGATATAATTGGGAAAGAAGAGGAGAGAATGGTCATACCTACTCCTGATGGATCTGGGAATATTACAGTCATAAAAAGGCGGGGTATAGGAGGGTTAAGGATGCTTGATGGAGATTTACCTTCTTTCCTTTCTTCCGGAAACATTGGATCTTTGTGTACTGAAATGAAAGTCCCAGGAAATTTAGTAGGGGAATTCTTGTCTTCATCTGATGTAGATTTTTCATTACCACCAGATGAGTTTATGAAACAGTTGCAGAAAAGAAATCCAGGAATGATTGGCCATTTGATGTCTCGTATGAATGAACGACCAAAGTATACACCAAGAAGACATCTTGATAGGCGCCCTCGACGACCAGAAACAGCCAAGTCTGATTTTGCAACCAGTTTTTATGACAGTTACAACAGAAATGTGGACATTTCTCAATTAGATAACCAACCAGGCTCATCTAGTCAAAGTACTGGATCAATTCAAATCCAAGCTAATGATTCAAATGCTGAAAGTAGAAGAAGAGGTAGCCTTGAAAGGATAATGGGAGAAAGGTAGGAATTTTTTGGCAATGATAATATTAATCTCTATTACATTACACAAATATTAAAGGTTTTTATTGCATGCTTTTCAATAGACAGTGAAATTATATAACCATATTATTTTCACAAGAGCCAGACTATGAATGATTGTGGATGTAAAGAATTTATAATAAGTAAATTGAAATATTGTCAGAAATACGCTTTGTCGTGATAAAATGTCTTGATTAAAGGAAGCAGATATACACTTATCATGTTAAAAATGTAACAAAATTCATGAAATTTTACAGGATTCTTCAACAAGAACAGAAAGAGCATGTCATTTTGTGGCAAATATTGTAAAAGTGACATAAAACCACTAAAATAGAAAAAAATCCTTTGTTTTGTATGCATACAAGTCATGTAATACCTGAAATGGGCCAAACTGGATTTTAATTTCAGCTGGATTCAGGGGCTCAGAACTGAATTTTTTATTGACTTGATTTGATTAATGTTAAGAAATATTAAACAATTCATATTTATTTATGCAACCTGGTGCTTAATGTATACATGTATTGCACAGTGTTATTATTTAATTCCTGTAAGGAATGAAATACAATACTGGTAAATATAACATTAAACATCATTTTGATCATTGACATATCTTTCTAAAGTTGATTCAGAAATCACGTAGAATATGTTGTCAGGTCACTTGCGAATGAAATTGGTAATTACAATGTACTTGTTACCAGTAATACTTACTTACTTGTAACTTATCCAGGAAAACTAATTAGGTGTATTGACTGCCAAGATAATGACCTAAAATGTGTTTTTAGTGGGAAAAAACAACAACAGCCTTTTTTATATAGTAAACCAACAGAATTGTTAGAGAAATTTTGAAATGTTTCATGTGGTGAAAATATTTGTAAATATTTCATAAATATTTTCCTGTCTTTCAAGATTTTGGTTTTTTTCCTCAACCAGTATAGTATTTATAACAATATTAAACAAGCTGTCAAATAAGGATATTTAAAATGTTTCCTCCTTTCTTAGTTAATCTGTAATTCTATTATTTCTAAACATATTATATTTCTTAACACAGACAGTGTTAAGATGTACAATTTTTACATAATATTAACATGTCAGGTAAAATATCACTAGTAAATGATAATAGTACTGAGGAAACAAAATTGCAGTTCAGTTGATATTTTTTTCCATAAAATAGAGGTAGAATATACTATGGACTGTTCCTAATGGCGAAAAAAAGTTCCAGATTGATTTCTCAGTGATTGCTTTAATTAAGACTGTTTAATATCTGCTTTTCATTTTTATACACCCATTGAAAAAAAACAAACAAAAAAACACATGATAAATTGGGATCTGGTGACTGGGAGCGTGCAGTTGAAAATTTTTAGAGTTTTTTGGCGTCTGGGCATCTTCTAGCTTTAATAGAAGTATATCTGGATCCCAGTTTTAAGTATAACTAAGACACAAAGTTTCACCACCATCAAGACATAGTTGTAGCCAGCATATCAAAGTTCAATGTAACACTTAGATTATACCATGTATGTATTATGTAATATGTGTATGGCCTGGTGGCCTGATGATACCATAAACTTTTTAGCTCACCTGTCATAAAGTGACACAGTGAGCTTTTGTGATCGCTTTTCGTCCGGTGTCCGTCCATCCTGCGTCCGGCAGTCCATCTGTAAACTTTTACTTTAAACGACATCTCCTCATAAACCTCTTAGCCAATTTCATCCAAACTTCACAGAAATGTTTCTTTGGTAGTCAACTTTAAAAATTGATCAAAGAATTCAATTCCAAGCAGAATTCTGGTTGCCATGGCAAGCGGAAGAAAGAACTTAAAATATCTTCTTTTAGAAAAGGGAAAGAGCTAACGCTTAAATATTTGGCATGAAAACATCATCTAGCAGTGTCTACCAAATTTGTACAAATAAAAGCCTTGGGGAAAAAAATTGGCCCCTCCCAAGGGGGTCTTTGATTTTCCTTATTTGTATAAATTATAGTAAAAATTAAAAAAATATTCTTATTAAAAACCCAAAGAGCTAGAGTTTAGATACTAAGCATGAAATATCTTCTAGTGAGTGTCTACCAAGTTTGTTCAAATAAAAGCCCTGGGGACAAAATTGGCCCCTCCCAGTGGGAGGGGGGGGGCATTGTTTTTCCATATATGTATAATAGTAAAAACTGAAAAAAATCTTCTTTTAAAAACCCCAAAGAGCTCGACTTTAAATATGTAGCATGAAACATCTTCTAATGGGTGACTACCAAGTTTGTTTAAATAATAGCCCCTGGTTTAAAATTGGCCTTCTAGCAGGGGCCTATATACAGGTGAGCGATTTCAGGGCTATTATGGCCCTCTTGTTGAATTTTAAGATTAAATGGTAAATTCTTGTGCTATACATGTAATTCAATACATTCAAAGTTTAATTGATTTTAGTATCAAAATACAATTACACAGTATAAAGAGATTGGTCAGACTCAGAACAGACTTGCAGGCTGGCCTGGCTATATTTTGACAGCAAAGGCTAATCACTTTAGGCTTCAGCAGGTTAAGAGTTTAAAACCAATCTAACTAATTTGTTCCTCTTACAGTTGTATCCCACAATAACTTGTTATTAGTTTTGAACAAAAATTTATACTTCAGAAAAATGTAGGCATAATTTGCTGATTATTTTGTTATATTGTATCACTGTTACTCTAGGATTGTACAAGATCTTGAGTCAAGAAGCATGGCAACATCATCCTCTAGCACAAATGTATCTATACAAAGTTCAAGGTCGGGAAGCCCTGTCAACTTTGATAGCAGTAGTGATGAAACTGTCACAGAAGTCAAGCTCAACGATATGTGGAACCCCATTCTTCAAGAAGAGAAAAATAATTGTAAATAAATAATATGTTTTTTAGGGGTATGTTTTTGTTACCTCAGTCCTCACTCATGGTGTTTATAATTTTTAAACCTGTAGCAAAGTTTAGATCATAAAACTTCCCCAAAATCTTAGCTGGATGGCAAGACTTGGACACTATTATTCCAATACAAAACCACAGCTGAGTGAGGGGATAAACAGAAAAAGCTCAGCTCATTTTGCCCACTGACAATTGCTTAATGTCTATGGTAGATTGGTAGGGGAATGTTGTGGTTACAATTGACTGGTAGGTAAGGCAAACTGATTTGATTGTTCGATTTTAGTATTCATGCCTGAGATAGTACAAGTTGGTGTATCTGAGGTACCAACAATAAAGCAGTAAGTTAAATTGCTATTTGACATTATTTGGTGGGACATAATAAGAAAACCTTCAGAGAGAGAAACAAATTGATGATTAAAAGCTAAATAGTTAATCTTCAATATTGTTAGATATACATGTAAAACATTATAAGCTGTCAGTAAAGCATTTATTTTATACATATTATATACTGTGAGTCATAAATGAATAAAAAGTACATGGTTGGGAAAGATGTTTTTTATCTGCAAAATAATTTAAATACATGTACTAGAGAAACATACTACCATTCATATTTTTCATTTTAGTCATATTTTCCATTTTTGTTTCATTAACATTTTTTTTTAGGAAGACTATACGTTGAAAGCTAAGAAAAGCATAGGTTTTATTGATCTGATTATATATATTTGCTTCATTGAAAATTATTATGTGTATTATTCTGTTTTGAAGAGTTTTGTTTATTTTTATTTTTGTTTGTTTTCTTTTAGGTCTTCAAGTTACTAGGATACCAGAAAGTTATAGATGCACAGTTTTATGTGTAGATGTATCTGAAAGTATGCAAGGATTGCCATGGCAACAAGTTAAACAATTTATTCCAGAATTTTTATCAGGTATCTTTCTATATTGTACAGTTTTACTACTAATATTGTCATTTAAATTATTCACTTTGCTAATGACCCCTGTTGATTTTCAAGTCATAAGGTCATAAATCATGGTCACTAACACAGTTAAATCTTTTTCTTATCAATTACTTGAGAAGGAATAAACCAAGGTTTGTTACTCTTAGTAGGGACATTGCCCTCGTCTAGTAGTTGTTCTCATATGATTCTTAAGTTTCTAGATCCAAGGTCATGGTCAAGCAACACTGTCATTGTCTTATCATTTACTGAAAAATTAATAAGTCCTAGCTGGCAAAACTGTGTAGGGATATTTTCTCATGGCCATTAAGTAGCTTCTATTGATTTTGAGATCATTTTGTCATAAGTCAAGGTCACAGTGCAATTTAGAGGAAAACTTTTGACCATTGATTAACTTGAGAAAAATATGGCTTGATTTGTTAAACTTAGTAGGGACATTGCCAATGGCAGGCAGATGATTCGTGTTGTGCTTTAGGTCAAAGTGACACTCAACGTTTTTGTTTTACATGTGCAACAACTAATTTTAATGAAATTAAATAGTTATAAGACTATTGTAATATTTATAACATATTAAAATAAAACGGTTTACCTTTATATAATATGAACATGTACTTATAATATAAATACACCACTGTGACAGGCAAATGAAATAAGGCAATAGTGTACTGTGGACATATTTCTAGTTATTGTTGTTATGTAGGGCTTGAGGAGAAGAAACAGAGTGAGAATATAGAGGAGTTTGTTGCCATGGTAACATTTGGATACAAGACAAAAATTGTGACACACCCTGCAAAACATTATACCCAGCTTCATAAAGACTTCAGTAAGTCTGCAGAAAATTATCAGTGATTTGATCAAATATTTTTTTCAAATAGACTATTTGATGTAAAACTTTATTACATGGAAATTTCAATACAATGTTATTTATGAAAAATTTTGTTTTTCTTGTAAAATCTTCCATTTAGTTTAAATAGCTTGATTGTGAAGAAGGCTTTATGCTTATTTGAACTACTTTCCATACCACCTCCTCGAACTCACCACTTCTGGTTTCATAACACAGATACATGGTCATGACTCTAGTAGGGCTCAAACCCATGATCCCTGGGTTGAGAGGTGGACACCTTAATCACTAGGCCACCGCTCCACTTAAATCTTCTTTCATGTAAATTCAAGTGCACACATTATCATGTAAAATTAAACTTCTTTGCAGAAAGTATTAACTTTAGTGATGTAAATACCATACTTATGGAGGTATTAAATGTGTGAAATTTTAAGCTTATAATCTTTTGGTCATCTGTTTCAGAATCTTTAAAACCAGAAGGGAATTCACCATTGTTGCCAGGAATTGCTCTTTCTTTGCTTATCCAGACAGTACGTAGAGGTGAGTGTCATATACTAGTACAGTCAATACCAGTTCTGTTAGTGCTAGCAGCAGAAATGACATGTCTTTGACACAAGTATAAAGCTAGATCAGCTGTTTATCCATGCAACTTGACAAGAGTACATTACTTTTAAAACCATATCTAATTGATCACTTGTTAATATGTTTTATTTTCAAAGTCTAATCTACATCAATCTATGTTCTTAAATATAGTAGTGTTTGGTGTGTTGAAATTCTATCATATTGATATGATAAAACAAATTTTCCTATTAAATTTAACGGAAACAATTTTTCCTATTTAATTTTAAGTGACATTATGCTAATTTTTTATTGTCAAGTTTAGCTTATATTTCAAAATATTGACTGTTATAATATTAATTTGCAATTTTAGAATTAGGCCAGCGTTACTGCAAGCTACATGACATCATAGTTCATCATCGTATAATTCTACTATCGGATGGTCGACCATCGCCCATGTCACTAGTGTGTACATCAGACGACATTCCTGATCTGGTTCAACAAGAAGCTTGTCAGGAAGTGGAGTCCAGTCTACAAGAGTGGAAGCTTTCATCACAATATACACATATAGACTGTGTACCCGTTGGATCTAATCCTAATTTGGTAACTTACTTGAATAGTAATATAGTTTAACTCTTATCATGCTTTATTTATGTAATGAATTTGCCTTATTTGAACTTGAAACAGGCTTATCAATGTTTAAGAGATTTCAATATTAATATACAAAATTTGAGTTACCAACATTATAGACCTTGACAAACCTGCACAGGCTGTTCTAGCTCTCCATATATACCGTGGCTAAAGCAAATTACTTTCGATTCCAGCCAAATAAAGGGAAGGCCATATTTAACTACTGTTGATGGTTTGCAGTTAGATAGAAAGATTGATTGAACCGAGATATTGTTGTAGAAGAAAAAGTACCTGAGCTGCGTAACATTAAACTTTAAGGAACTGTTAAAAATTCAGAGTTTCAAAAGCCTTAAAACATAAAATGTAAAATTGTTACATAGATCAGTTGGTGTACTTAAAATGGATAAATATGTAAACGATAAGAATATATACTATGAATTAAATAGATCAATTTTTATGCCCCCGCCATGTAATGGCCGGGGCATATAGTGTTACCCTGTTCCGTCATTCCGTCCTTCCGTCCTTCCGTCCTTCCGTCCTTCCATCCTTCCGTCCTTCCGTCCTTCCGTCATTCTGTCATTCCGTCATCATCAGTTTCCGTTCATTATCTTAAGAACGGTTGCACACATTCAACTCAAATTTGACATATGGATATGTTATGAGAAAATACAGGTCAAGTTCGAATTTGGTCATGGTTCGATGATTTTTGGCAGAGTTATGCCCCTTTTACTTTGAAAATAATATGAAATTTCAGTTTCCGTTCATTATCTCCCCAACAGTACAACACATTCAACTCAAACTTGACATATGGATATGTCATGAGAAAATACAGGTCAAGTTCGAATTTGGTCATGGTTTGATGATTTTTGGCAGAGTTATGCCCCTTTTACTTTGAAAATAATATGAAATTTTCAGTTTCCGTTCATTATCTCCCCAATGGTACAACACATTCAACTCAAACTTGACATATGGATATGTCATGAGAAAATACAGGTCAAGTTCGAATTTGGTCATGGTTTGATGATTTTTGGCAGAGTTATGCCCCTTTTACTTTGAAAATAATATGAAATTTTCAGTTTCCGTTTATTATCTCCCCAATGGTACAACACATTCAACTCAAATTTGACATATGGATATGTTTTTGAAATGCCCAGGCCAAGTTCGAATTTGGTCATGGTTCAATGATTTTTGGCAGAGTAAAGCCCCTTTCACTTTGAAAATAATATGAAATTTACAGTTTCTGTTCATTATCTACCCAATAGTGTTAAATATTCAACTTAAATTTGACATATGGATATGTCAAAGGAATGGGCAGATCAAGTTGGAATTTGGTCATGGTTTGATGATTTTTGGCAGAGTTATGTCCCTTTCACTTTGAAAATAATATAGATACATCTTAGGAATAAGCAGTTTAAGTTTGAATTTGGTCGTGGTTTTGAACTTTCAGTTTCAGCACTCATACTTTTAGCCATTATTTTGGCTACAAATATGCAATATGCTATTTTTAAAAGTTCAAGACTGAATTATTTCAGTGCCTTGAACATTGTATGAAAATGGTTTGTGTTAACATTGAAAAGTTTTAAGGGCTTTGAACTTAAAATGAAAAGAATAATTAATGCACCATCTGAAATTTTGGCTGCGTGCGGGGGCATCCGTGGCATGATGACACATTTCTAGTTTTTGTGAATACCAGCCTTATTTGAGTTGAAAGCATAGAACACTATTTGTTTGTTGCTTTATTTTGTACAATACAAATGATTTCTTAATGTATTTTGGAAATCAGAATGAGTGAATGAACTGAAATTTTGCACACAAGTTATTTATGTCTAGACTTACATCAAATGGTAAACGAATCATAAAAGAAGATATCCAGTCCATTCTTGTCAAAAACAAAAAAACAATCAAACTCAGTTTAAATGTTAAAACCTGCTCCTTAGTTAAGTCTGAAAAAAGTGAGTATCAGTTGAACTCGGAAAATGATATTTGAAAAAGTATGGAATGCCTTGCCTAATCCTTGATGTTATTTAAATTAATACATCCAGAGCTATTACTTGCCATATTTGTCTGATTTTTGTACAATTATAATCCCTGTAAAACAATTGTCTTTATGACCATGATTTAGTAAAATCTTGTCACACATAAGAGCTTTCATTTACATATCAATAATATTTGTACTTTAAAAAAAGTACAGATTTGGCAGAATTTATGTTAACTTATCATAGTGTAGTGTAATTAATTATTCAAAATATAAATTATATGAAATTTTGTATTTCAATATTGAAATGATTTTGTTTTGCAATTATTTAAAGGATATGCTGGAAACTATATGCAGGGTTACAAATGGACGACTGGTCAAACCTTCAGATGTGCGAGACTTAGTTAATAGTACACATAATCATGTATGTACATAATTATTAGTTAATTATTTTTCCGTGTTTACTATTTTGTGTTTATGAAATGGACCAATACAGATTTGTAAAATTCAAGAATTTTGATTCAGCATGTAATTGAAATGTTTGGGGTGGGGGATGGGGGGGGGGGGGGTAGAGAAATTGTCCAGAATAAAATATTACAGGTTATCCATATTGTTCTGTATTTATTATCTACTTTACATATTTCATTGAAATATTTTCACTTTGGTCATTTCTTACAAGACATAGTGTAGCTGTAAATCAAGTTTCAACTTACCTGAACACTTAAATGTTTTAGATTTTGTTAGGTGGCTAGAGACTTTGTCTGTACCAGTCCTTGTATTTTATTTTCTTGACTATCATCTTACTTTATGCTTGGAGAATAACCATAATTTACTTCTGTATAAAGATTGGAGTTATCCTGTATTGGCCTCTGTATATTTTCACATAAGTTATTGCCCCCTTGTGGCAGAGGGGTTTGCCTTTCAGGGCTGAGGCAACAGAATTGCAGCCATTGTTTATCCTTGCATGATCAAAAGAGTCAACTTAATGGGTTCAAATTACTGGAGCATCTCTTAGCTCCAGCAGGTGCTTCCATTTCATTAGAGATATAATATAAAATAACAAATTCACTTATTTACTAAACATGTAATTATGTCTTTGTTAAAATTATATATTTCATATTTTGTAGTATATAGCAGCACAGATCTCTAAACAGATGTTCCAAGGAAAGGTTGATTCATTTGATGAGCATATTTTTAAGTCCCTGGTTCTATCACTTCACCCGTCTACATCACCTACTGATATGGTAAGTTCCAGTCTGATTATTTGAAGAATATTTGGGCTATTCTCTCACCCTTTGTTGTAAATTTAAGTTTTGCTTGTGGCATTGAATATGTACACTTGAAACAAATGATTGAAATAAGTGATCTTGAGTTTATACATATGACTTAACGAGTTGATGAAACTGAACCCTGTTATTAGTGAAGTTAGTATTATCACCGTGTATATCCAGTAACGCAGGAATGTGCAAATAACACAGGAATTGTGCAAAGAAACGCAGAATTGTGCAATTTAGTGGCTAAAACGATCCCCGCAATAAGTAAATGGACCAATATTTTTTATTGTACACCAAATTGGAAGAAATGAATTAGAGCATACGGTTGCTAAGACACTATACTTTAAACCTCATCAAAAATATTTCCATGAAAATGATTATTTTTCAAGATCATTTGTGAAAATAACAACCTGACTAGGGTATTAATGGCGATTTTTAGTTTCGTTGATATATTTAAATACAATAACGCGCATGTTTTATTGTTACTTTATAATTTTTATATTCGGTGTAACCCAAGAAATTTTCCAATCTACTTGTGTCATATTACACTAAATGTAGCAGATAAAACGTAATTGAGACCTTTTTTTATGATGTAACGCCAAATGCGTGAATGAAGCAGTAAAGCAATGGCGGTTATCTCATTAAAAGTAGCTAAATCATATTTTACCAGCTTCCTTCTATTGATATATGACACTTAGTTTGACAAATGTCTTAGGTATGAAGAATATGAAAAAATAATGTTTTATATGTGTTGAATGTACATATTTATTTGACGAAACTCAAAAGTAACCTTCAAAACAGTAATCAGGTTGTCTTTCTCACAAATGATCTAAAAAAGTGAACATATTCCTGAAAAAATTGTAATACTGGTTAAAGTATAATGTCGAAGCAGCCTATGCACTAATTCATTTCTTTAATTTTGATTTAGAATAAAATATTTTGGTTCGTTTACTTACTATGTTATTCATTTTGGCAATAGCATTGCACAGAATCGGGGTTACTTTTACATTATTTGCACATTCCTGCGTTACTGGATATGCACAGTGATTATATGTATTTGATTTCTGTATTTTCATTACGTGATATACTGATTACTATGCCCATTTTGAGTGAGATATAGTCAATAATTGTTTTTACCAGGTATTCTGAAAGAAAATACTGAATTTTATATTGATGAATGTTGTTAGGCAGTTTAGTAGGTAGCTAAACAGCAAGTGCTTAGGATGCTGCAAGCAATTTCTTCTGTGCACAACTACATTTCTTAAGGGATTTTAACCAAAACCTTCACAGAAGTATTGTTATGAAGTGCTTCAGCACATGTTGTAAGAATTTGTGCTTTGATCATTTGAAACTACATGTACATATATAGAGAAATATTCTTCTGTGCACAATTCCTCATACATTTCTCAAGGAAATTCAGCTAGACTTTCACAGAATCATTGTCACCAAGTGCTATATGGGTCATATTATTGTAGATTTGTGTCTTAATCATATTTGACCTAGTTATGTGCAAACTACCTTTGGTTAAAATACAATAATATGAAGACAGACCGTCAGCTGGTCTTTGTTGTTGTATCTGTAATTGTTATATTTCTGTTTTATTTCTGATGTACTGATTGGTCAAATAAGTGCATCACACATGGGCTTAGACTAAATTATGATAATTTTAGGCGGAGATGGTAAATAAGGCGGAAGAAGCACAGGCACGGTTATTGGCGAAACAGGCAGACAGTTCAGACAACATGAGCAATGTTAGCGAGGAGGATGATCATTTTGAACCATCAGATTTACTGGATTTACCTAAAATTGGCACAAGAGTGGTCCCAGGTCCGGACATTACAGGCAGACTGTTACAGTTACAAGTGAGGAAAGGGACTGTAACAGGACATAGTCGCAAACATAGAGGTACTATAATATAAATATGTTAATGTTTGACACAATGTAATATTATTATATAATGTTTTATTTTTGGTCTGATGTGTAAATAGTGGTGTGGCCTAGTACATGTAGCTAAAAAGTAAGACTTGCAATGTAAGGATTGCTGGCTACATGGGTTTAAACATAAGTATATTGATATTGATAATTTCAGTTTTCATTATTATAAGAATAATTATCATTTTGATGATAATGTTTTATGTTTTATATATTTTAGGAAAGGTGTTTGTAAAGTGGGATAATGGAGTAAATTTATTGTGTAATTGTGGATATCACTTCAAGTTTGAGGTGCTTACAGCAGACGACACAGATCAGCATAATATTGATGATAAAATAGAAGTGGGATGTAAAGTAAGAAGAGGTAAGTCAGATAAAAAACAAACTTTGATATATTTAAACAAGGATGTTTTTCCATTTTTGTTTTTCAAGTTTATTTTCTTCAAATTTTCAAAAGTAGAAAGTGTGCAAATTAGCTTTGACCAAGATTTGACACATTATCTTCAAAACAATGTAAATGGTCATCGATGTTGAGAAATTTGTCAAAAAGTTATGGCATTAAACACTTTCCATTTGTTTGACTATATAAACTTAATTTCAATGAAACTGCACAGGAGACTGTTACTTGTTCATGCGCCATGTGCGGAATGACACCTTAGGGCATATTTAAAGATTAAAAATCTGTGGAAAAGTAGTAGAATGTATAATAAATATTCCTAGGTTGTCTTATAATTTATCAAATAATTAAATTAAATAATATCCTGTTGATTGTTTGCACTTACATCCATCAATGTTGTATTAATTTAATCAAATTAGTTTGGGGATATCTTAGAAGCAAAGACTTGTCTGCCTCTCAATCTAGAACTTGGGTTCAAGCCTAATTAATTTGATCATGACAATATTTCCTCATAATTATAATACTAGTATTGGTAAGTCCAGTTTAAGATAGCCTGAATGTGTTAAATGTAAGTTGACTACATGAACTTGTTTTTTACTATTTCAATGTAAGTTGAAACACATTGTTTCTCAGTCAAGCTTAAAAAGATATTCTAAAACTGAATACATTTTGAATTTCATGTAAAAATCTTTAACCTTTACCATGCAAGAAACAAAGATTTTTGTTAGAGTTATGGCCTTTAATGATTTTTATTTACGCTTTGTGCGGACTACTTATCATAATGACTACTAATTCAGTTTAAATGAAACATTACATGAATGATTGATACCTCAAATACTTGCACATATTAAATGGGTTTTCCAGTTGAATGATTTTGGCTAAGTTATGGCCCTTGAATAAAAAAAGACATTTTAATGATTTTTGTGTCTCCTGCTACATGGTAGCTGCAACATGCAATTGGCTATCATCAGGCGACACATGTGATCACTGATGGCTCAAAAATGTTGTATTTTGAATATTGAAATCTCTCAAACTTGTAATGTACTATTTTCTAAGAAACAAAACAAAACAAAACTAGAACTGTGTCCAAAGGACACAGATGCCCCCACTGACAACATATATATGGTACATAGTGAAAAAATCAACAAAGGGCCATAATTCTATTAAATTTGGTTGCAGCAAAAATTCCTTCCTTTACTACCATCTACACATTAAGGTTGTTCATCCCTGGAAGTTGAAGCAAAATCTGCCATCCGGTTTAAGAGGAGTTGCGTTCACAAAATTTCTACATAGTATATAGTGAAAAAATCAACAAAGGGCCATAATTCTGTTAAATTTGGTCACAGCGAAAAATTCCTTCCTTTACTACCATCTACACCTTAAGGTTGTTCATCCCTGGAAGTTTGAGCAAAATCTGCCATCCGGTTTAAGAGGAGTTGCGTTCACAAGATTTCGGGACGTACGGGCAGACGTACGGACGGACGGACAAGTGCAACGCTATATGCTCCCCACTTTGTGGGGGCATAAAAAATAACTTAGATTCATTACACAAATTCAACAGATTAATGGTTAAGATTAATATGTGAATTTAAACATTAATTAACACAGGTCCTGACTGGAAGTATGGGAACCAGGACGGAGGTGTAGACCAGATAGGTACTGTCATAAAGATACATAAAAAAGCAAGTGTACAGGTACAATGGCCAAACGGAAACCGTAACAAGTACAGATACAATCAGAGTGGAATATTTGATCTTCTTATTTCGTAAGTTTAAATTTTATGACTTGTTATCCAACTATCAGGGTTGGCTTCTTTGGATTTTGAATGATTGGCAGATTTGAACATGTTTTATGTGCCTGCTAAGCTCTATAGACAAAAGCATCAGGTTTGTTATTATGCTGCAGGTTTGATTCTCAAGCAAGGTTGATTTCATCTGTGAAACCTGATCTTGGACAAAATACATTTAGATAAATTTGCTATAAATTTCATCAACACTTTAACTCTGTTGATTATTATTTTCATCTCAATATTGGCAATTGAAAAATGTATAGACAAAGTGAACAGAACCTGTATTTATATTTCTCCTGATTTTAGAGACTCGAAGGATCCTTTTGGAAGGCAGATGTATGAATGTGAAATGAACAAACGAAACCTGGCAAGAACAGATGTACAAGAAGACCTGCATAATGGCACTAATATTGAATCACAATTTTCCGGTGATAGCTGTGTTAAACCAAAGACTTCAGAAAATACCAGCGTAAGACATAAGGTTTTAATTCAACAAAAGTCATTAGGTGATAACAGTGTGAGACCAAAGTTCTCAGGTGATAACAGTGTGAGACCAAAGTTCTCAGGTGATAACAGTGTGAGACCAAAGTTCTCATAATAACAGTGTGAGACCAAAGTTCTCAGGTGATAATAGTGTCAGGTGATAATAGTGTGAGACCAAAGTTTTAAGGTGATATAACAGTGTAAAATAGACCAAAGTTTTAAGGTGATAACACGATGTACAGTTTGTAGATGATAACATTAACAGTGTGACTACAAAATTTATTTTGGATATTTATAAGTGTGGCAAAAAAATTTGTACAGTGATAGTGATGTTTAAATGCAGTTTCCAGATAACATTGTAACAACAGGGCTACATGAAGGTGATGACAGTTTATCAAGAAATGTTCCCCCCGGTGATAATGGTGCTAAAAACTCAATCAAAACAGCATCAAATTAAAGTGTGTGTGTGTTTTTTGTTGAAAATGTTTGTGACATCCTGATAACATTGTGATGAAAGAAAAACTGCTTAATATCTGGTGATAATAGAGTAACAGCCTAATGTCTAGATAATGACAGAGTAACAGCCTAATGTACAGTATTAGTAATGTAACAGTAACAGCATAATGATTATGTCCAGAAAGCAGAATGGCCAAGTCATATTTGTGTAATTATCACATTTCTAGGTGATAAAGTAAAACAGTAAACTCACTGAAACAGGTTAAAATTAACCCTATAATTAAGTGGTTCTGATAGTTTATCATCAGAAATCTGACTTTATCCTGTTGCATTTATAAAACAGGTATGTCCTGGCTTTCAGTTTGGACTGTCCATTGATAGTTTGTGAGTGATTTTGTTTGTTTAAGTATGACAGTAATGAGATTTCAGTATGATAATTAAAAGATTGCAGTTTGAAAATAAAGTGATATCATTTTGAAATTGAAGCAACAGAAAAAAATAGTTGTCAGACAGTATAGATGTGCAGACTGGCCTGTCAGAGTACTGATGGCATATTTATACCATTATCACCACTGTTGATTGAAATTATAAAGCATTTTGTGATTAGAGATGAGCTTTTGTGATCGCATGATTTCCATCATGTGACATGCCTAAATATTATCTACAATACAACCTGGTAAATTTTGTCCAAGCTTCACACGAATGATCCTCTACAAAAGTTATTTAAGCCAATTTGCTTCTTAAGGTCAGAATTGGCTCCCTTAATAAACATAGACTTAATAATATATAGGAAAACACATTGAAATAAGGTCTCTGGGTCAAAAGTGGCCTCAACTTGGATCACTTTAGTTACATTGACTTGTATAGCAAATTTAGAAAATCAGATTTAAAAATCCCTTCCCAGAAGTAAGAATGTTCAAAGTTTAGATATTTGGCATGTAACACCAACTTATTGTCCTCTACAAAAGCAATATAAATCACACCCTCATTGGCAAATTCCCCCTACCCTACGAGTTACTTAAATTCAATAATCTTATACAGGAAAACACATGTAAATCTCATTTGAAAATACTTGCCTTAGAGCTGAAGTATTTGCATTAGGCATTGCCTGGTAGACCTCTAAAAAGCTATATAGAAATAGCCCCTGGTATTGAAAATGGTCCTGTCCTGAGGTCACTTTTGTTTCACTGGCTTGTATAGGAAAAAGACAAAGTTTTCTCTACAAAATAAGTACAATGCAATAAGCTTAGATATTGGCATGTAGCATTATATTCTTGTGGCCCTTTACAAAATAATGTTATATCAATCACACCTTTAGGGTCTTATTGGCCCGGAGGTTGCTTGTTTTGCGTAGGCTAACATGTACACATGTATATAGAAATCATTTAAATTGGACCTCATGACCTTAGATATGTGGCATGTAGCATCGCCTAGTTGACTTCTAGAATCATGGCTCTAAGAGCCCCAATTTGACCAATTATAGACTTGGTGCTGCATTAAAACAGTAATGATTTTTTTCTAGTGAAGTCCCAGGTGAGCCATTAAGAGTGATTGTGGCCATCTTGTTTAAAATGATTATTTCTCAAATTGATTGTGAGTTTAAGATGTGGTAATGTTTTCTTTGTTCAAGTTGTCAGGTTTTGATTTGATGTTTATATTATTATAGTTGATGCATTCCAACTTTCGTGAGATAGAGTAACTATACAATGACAATCAGACATTTCTGAGATATCAGTGTTATAAATTTCATAAATTCATTATGTCTATTGATTTGTATGTCTTTCAAATTATTTTCATCAAAATATTGCAGCATAATTTATCAGAAACAGGAGAAGTAAAGAAGCTACAAATTGGATAGTTATTTACTACTGGAATTAGCAAATATTTGCCTGTAACACGTTCAAACAATGAGTCTGTGTTACCTTAAAAAAATGTCAAGTGATCACCCATCTTTAATAACTAGTGAATCATAGAACATGTACATGTGTTCCCTTTTTCTGGAACAAAGAAACAAAATTGTTATTTAGTTAGATTTTGAAACAGTGTCAGCTAGTAGTTCAAGATATGAACTTTATAATAACATTGTTAATTGACCAAGTTTTATGTGTAATACGAGAAGAATATTATTAAGGCATTGGCATATAATGAGACAATTATACATAAACAGACTTAATAGGTCTTCTATTTCTACACTACATGTATATATTTTCAGTTCTTTAGACTGTTGATAAAAATAAATTTCTATTTTAAGTATTAATGAATTTTTATTGTATTTAATTTTATTGTAAATTTTATATTAATGTTAAAAACAAAGTGTTATTGAATTTTAGATAAAAGGATGGACTGACATGATATAAGTGTTTAATTTGTTGCATAATTAAAATATTATCATTATTTTCAATGTCTATTTGTGTTTGCATATTTATGATGATAAACTTGTGATTTTATTGAATTATATTTTGTATTTTTGTTAAAATTAAAAATAAACATTAATCTAAGAATAAACGATGCTTTATTGGTATTTTTTTCATTACTCAGAACTGTATACTGTTTTTGAGTTGGAGCGCTTTAAATAAAAAAGAAACAAATTTTCACACAGACATGTGCAGAAAATTATAACCAGTTTAAAGGACAATGTCCAAATGATGTATAAAATGTAGTGGTCAATCATGTTCATTGTAAAGAGTTGTCTCTTAATCAAATTTTCCAGGTTTTTTTCCACGGTTTAAATCAGTCTGCACAATCATTTTGGTAATAAACAACGTCAAAAACGAACATGTTAAATTGCTCACCAGAGATCCATTGCTAGATGTCAATGCAGAAGTACATATAGGTCATTGCGTCATATAGTTTTCAATGCAGTAGCAAGGGGTATCTGTGGCAGTGTTGACTTCACTTGCCCCAAACCGCTGTGTGTTCGAATACAAACATGGACTTTGGATTCTTTCATGTGAGATAACTATCCAGCTAGCGTTTTGGAAATCAGTGGTTCAAGTCAGGTGCCTTAATTAAAATACAGGGAAGGGCACCTGAGGTCTTCCTCCACCAGCAAAGCTTGAAAGTGCCATATGACCTATACTAAGTTGGTGCTGAGTAAAACCCAACCAAAACAAAAACAACTATTCAAAGTCATTTAAGGTGAACTGTTGATACCATACAGTAAACAGTTCTTTACAAGACATAGTGATTAACTTATACAATTGCAGCTAAGAATTGAAAAAGTAGGTCATTTGATCATCATTTTGGTCATCATCAAAATTCAATATCAAGTTAGACCCACATGTGAGGGCTATGGCTTAAAAATAAGGTCAAAATGTACAGTTCAAAATTATCCATTGCAAATACATTTGACATAGAAAACATGTGATTTAAATTTGATTGTTATAGCTTGAAAAAGGAAATTTACACCCAGCACATAGCCTTTGCTTATTTTATTACACAACACTATATAATTAAATAACCTCAAACATAACCATTTTATTCCCAAAGAAGATATTTCATTTAGTTTTGTACATTTTTAGCCGGCTTGGCTATATGCTTTGTAACTTTCTATAAATCTAAGCTTTTAACGGCATGCATGTTTTCTTATATTAGTGTAAAACTAGAAATGTATCCATAGGACACAGATACCCCCACAATATTTTTACCACCAATGTTTTGATACTACATCAAAGAATAAGACTGTAATAATAATTTTAAACAAAAGAGGAAAGTGAACAAAGTGCCCTCAAAGTCCAACATTGACCTTGAAGTTGCAGACATAGCTCTTGCACATAACAAACTGTCTGAGAAGGAAACAATATTATGCCAATTTATTGGAAACAATATTATGCCACTTAATTGGAAAATTCATCAACTAATGACAGTGTTGTCAGGCAAAAAAAGGATTTGACCTTTGACCTACAATAATGACTTTGAACTTGGAGATGCAGTCTAGCATGTCACATATGACCGGACAGTGGTGCAGACACAGATGTATATCAAACACATTTGTATTTCAACAATCCATTAACTATATTGACAAAGATATAAACCAGAAAGGATTTGATATCCAGGTATGACATAGACTTTGAAAGTGCTTATATGCACATTAACACATTGTTTACCTATGATGGTCATAATATTTATGTACCATTTACTTTTGAAATTCCATGATGCATGCAAAAATTATATACAGGACTAAAACTGAAGCTGCAGATAAACTAGTAACAACATTTTAAGTTCAATCCTTTGCTGCTACCTTGAACATTGTGCTAGAGACCCAGAGTCTTCCTTGTGTCATGTCATCACTTTATCAAGTCTACCAGTTCAAACAGAAATTCAATTATGCATGCAGAAGCCATGGACCAGACACAAACTTCAACACAACTTGAAACCATGTGACAAACTCTTGCTATGACCTTGACCTTTGAGCAAGAGACCTAGTTCTTGCATGTGACACATCAACTACTTATGGCAGTCTTATATGTCTCTTTATTTCAGCATGTTGTGTTAAGAAATCATTCTACCGGTAAAAAGAGAATTATTTGAATATCTAATATATTAGAGGAAAATGAAGAAATACAACATGTTAACACCAGTGCTGGTTGAGGTTATTAGTCCCCTACCGGTTTAACCGGAGGGGACTTTAGGTTTACCCTCCGTCCGTCTGTCTGTCAGTCCGTCAGTCCACAAAACTGGATCCTGCGATAACGTAAAAAGTACTGAAAATATTTTTATGAAACTTGATATATGGATAGATGGCAGTATGGAGATTATGCACGTCTTTTTTTTTCTTCCTATGTTGAAAATTCTGGTTGCTATGGCAACAAATAGTCTGAAAATATGGCAAATTTAACAAATAAACTGGATCCAGTGATAACTCAAAAAGTACTGAAAATATTTTTATGAAACTTGAAATATGGGTAGATGGCAGTCTGGAGATTATGCACATCTTTTTCTTTTCTTCCTATGTTGAAAATTCTGGTTGCTATGGCAACAAATAGCCTGAATTTCAAGATTTCTGATTTAAATTTTTCAGCTTTTTCACTATATGTTCTTTATTTCTTAAGGTGTTTACTTCAAACTTTAAATACATGTATAAGTTTCTGGTCATCAACCACATCATATGTGACAAGGTTTATAACTCTAGCACAAAATTATCAGTATTACCTCCCTTGAACTTAGATTTTTTAGGGGAAAAAAATGTTGTCTTTTTTTAAATAACTTCTTTATTTCCTAATGTATCTACTTCAAACTTCATATATATGTTTCTTATTATCACTCGACATTTTTGAGAAGGTTAAATACTCTAGCAAGACTATTTCCAGAATTATGTCCCCCTTGAACTTAGATTTTTTTCGAGAAACTGGTATTTTCACTCCAACTTCTTCATTCCTTATAGGATTTACTTTAAAATCCCACATCGTAATAATATGACAAGGTTGTATAAACATAATTTCCTTACTAAGCATGGAAACTTAACACATTACTGTGATATAGACAAACTTAGAACTCAAAAGATTTAAGTTTATTCATGTCATTCATTCACTGGTAAATTGAATGGCAAATGGCCCATCAGAATGTTGCTGGGGTTCTAACCGGTAGGGGACTTATGGATTGCTTGCAATACTATGATAATTGCTTGTTTATTCTCTATTGAACCTTAATAACGATCCATCTTATATATATGTATGTTTAAATAAATTTATATGTATTTATTAAAATGGCCACATCCTATGCATGTCAAGTGAGATTTTGTGATTATCTTGCACACATTTTCTACATTAAAAGATGTGCCACAGAACTATTTTGGAACAAATCTGATCAGAAGTTAAAGTTTCTAATCCAGAGGACATGCAATCTGTCGTATATAAGTTCACCCTGAATGTTCATTTCTGGTTAGACAGGAAAAGATAACTAAGTTTTGAGTTTAATTCAAACTCCAGCTTTGTTTTTTATTAATGAATTATGATAATCATTATAAAAAGAAAACAAAATAGTACTTAATTAAACATTTAACTTTATTCATATTAACATCTAATATTTGCACAATACCCAATAATGGACACAATACATTATAACAGTTATTATAATCATATCTGTTTTAAAATGACAAATTCTTTTTAATTGAGAAGAAAAATGGAAGAAAATAAAGATCTGTGTTTCAAAAATGTACACACTTCAATATGATTAAAACCAAAATATTTTCCTTTACCTTATTAAAAGCAGCATGCTGATATATGGGGTAGAATTATTTATTCAATATGATCAAAATAAAATGTTAATTCAGTCATATTTTGCACAAAAAAAGCAAACAAAGTGTCCCCTGTGTTGTACATAACATGTCTTTAACTTTTAATCCAGTTTTCTAAACTTTGATTTTATTACCTTGTTTGGATGTATGTACTTGCTATAAAATCACTAAATTACATAATACATTTGGATTAATTTCAAAATTTCCTTTTAATTACACGAAAAATTGTAGTGTTTTTTCTTTATAAAATAATTGACTTTTAATTTCATACAATTGAAAAATTCTACCTCTTGTTTCATTAGTTATTTCAGAAACATTTCTAGAGGCTAAGGGTATGAAATCTATTTACAAAATAAGCAAATAAAATATAAATCATATAATAAAATAAAAATTTCAAATATTTATGACACTAAAAACAGGTTAAAAACAATAAAACACTTTATGAAACAAATACAACATTGCTTCTATTAAACGCACCTCTCAAAGAAGTGCCCCCACCACATTTTGTAGAAAAAAAATCTTACCTTAACAGATTTATAATCCATAATGAACAAGCATTTAAAAAAATCCACAAAATTTTTAATGAAACTCCAAAAAAATCTGTATTACATATTAGATCATACTGAATTATAATTTGTATTACTGAATTGTATCTTTAATAAACATATTTGTTTTTAAAAGTATATTTTTATAGTATTAATTAGGCCCCCCCCCCCCTTAACAAAATGCAAGCTAGGCGTTAAATGGAAATAATATGGTAGTTAACTCACTTCTTCAGCCACTTTGTTTTAATGTAATTCATCTAGAGGATCTTGTGACAGAATTACACACACGTTTCGATTTCCTGAGAAAAAACAACACACAAATAAGGATTGAGAAAAACATTGGAAATAAAAATAATTAAAATAAGGATTACATCTTTTACCTATTAAAAAGTTCAGCTTCTTCAATATATGAGTGATAAGGGTTGACTGATAAATTGTATACATGGTATTTACTCTATACTTTATTAGTACACCAAAACAAATGAACACAGACAAACTTGATATGGGAACATTAACACAAAAAGTGTGTGGCCCACTGGCTGCAGATAACATCAAGGAAAGTAAACAAAACACTAATACAACACTGACATCAATTGGCCTGCTTCAGGCATTACATTAGTTTCCTGCAAACTTTTTTGTCCAATGTAATTGTATCTAAATAATATTTGAGCTCTAACCACAGTAAAATTATCATGTGATGTATTATGTTGTTTTTTTTGTTTGTT